AAAAATTTAGTTTTCATCATCAGCTTTCAAACAGGTTGCAATGTTCATATCTGGTACATACAATGAAAGCACATATCTGAGCACGCCATCCCAATTTTTTTACATCAGGCATTCCTACATCCTGCTTTACAATCACAACAGTTTCAACAGCATCTGACAAGCAGCTGTTTGGTCAATAGCAATTGCAATCAGATTATATTTAGTGGGAAGTAAGTATTGATCCAGCTGCTGTAGATACACATTTACAGAGTGATGTTGCAATGGTTGGTGGAAAACTAGCTGATGTAAAGGTGCTACTTGCTGATGTTTTATCCATGAAGGGGTTATATACCTTGCATCTGTATTTGTTGAGTGTAGCAAACTTTATAGCTCTGTACAGTTTGAACAAACTGTTCTCTTACAATGACTCCATTGTTATGTGGGTTGTAAGTTAGTACAATTACTTTTATGTAGAACAATTTTTCTCTTTTTTTTTTTTTTTTTTTTTTTTTCAGCTAGTTTTGCTTTCACTTTCCTTATGCATAAAGTGCTGATATAATATCACAAACCATGGCATGTAGAAACAAAATGTGGTGTTTTACATTCCTTCATACTTGCTGAAGATGGTTGGCAACATGAAAGTAAAGAAGCTTTTCTTTTTTTTTCCATCTTAGAGTAGATATAAAACTACCAGTTCTTTCTGCATATACACTGTATATATATATATATATATATATATAATGAGTAAATGTTTGTCACTTAGCTGATTAATATTATTTTCAACATCCTAACTCCAGAGTTTCATTGGTGGGCCTGTCTGTCCACTCTTCAGGGGCTATCAACAATGTACAGAAGAGAATATAGAGTACAATGTGGAGTATTAAAAAAAAAATCACCAGTTCAAATATCCAACTATCCTGAGATCCAGTGACATAAAGGTGATGTATGATCATAATTTCATATCATCTCTATTTCCCTTGAAATTTTGTGGGCACAAATAGCTAGAAAATGTAAGTTATAGCTATATTTCTTGTTGATTGATAAGCTGAAAATATTTTTAGTCAAGTACAAAAAAGAGAAAAAAAAGTTTCCTTCTAAAGATGAGTGGTCCCCTCTTCTGTTACGAAGCTCATCATCCAAAAATTTTCCAGCATACTATGAATTTTCAGTAAGTTACTATCATTATTTCTGGCTGAAAGGACTCCTTCTTACCATTATTGAACAGTATGCTAGTCCTCAAAAATCTGAGTCGAGCAAGCATAGAAATGAATACAATATGGGAACCAGTAATAAGGAGTGCCAGAGAAAAGCAATAACAACAAAAATTGCAATATGACCTCTGGTAAAAAACATGCAATGATAATGGCAAAAATTGCAGTATGAGCACTGGTAAAAAATGGTTGCTGAAGACATTAGGTTTATAATACCCAGAAATTCATACACAACTGTCCTCAAGGACATATGGCACAGTGGATAAAGGCGTTAGTTAGATCCAGTGACAGGACCCAAAGAGTGTGAGTTCAATACCTGGTTAAAGCAGTAGAGAACTTTCAGAGGGGAATTAACAGGAGATAACTGACATCCATTAGAACTAGTCTACCCTACTGGTTCAGTTTGACATTCCAACCACCTGAAGAAGGCCAGAGCGCACAACAGCCAAAACTTTGTGATAAACATGGCGACAAACATGAGGATAGAAAAATAAAAATAGGATGTTTTTACTGCCAAACCTTTTCTGCAAAAGTTGAAAAAAAAAATGCTGGAAAGAATTTCAGAAAGCAGAAATTGTTTTTGATTTTGTCTTGTTGAGAAATTAGTGGAAAGGTGGCCACTTAATAATATAGAATGTTAGTGAGTATGTCTTTATTTGCTCAGATTTCATCTGTTGAACTTGAGCACCTGAAGAAAAGAATTTTCAGATTAGTTGAGGACTTTTCAGGAGTTGGGTCATATTACTATATCTTCTGCAGACAAGACATTAAAACAGTATTCTGGGCTTGTAATCAACAAAGATTTTATCAATGAAACAAAATTAGTGTAAATGATAACCGCATTGATGATTTTTATTAAAGAATTTGGGCTTCTCCAACATGTTCTGTGCTAGAACTTAGAATTTCTCTTATTCGTTCTCTGAAAATGTATGCATAGAATCTGGCTATAAATGAAAGTATGCCATAGTGGCCTTAAGGTTGGTGTCTGAAGGTCTTCATTGTGCAGGAGGAGTAATGAAAATTTCCTAAATGAAAAAAAAGTTTGGAAACTCTCACCACACTTACCAGCCTGTGAAGAACTCAGGAAGAAGGAAAGTAAGACAAAAAGATAAAAGGCAGAAAAAAAAGATAAGCTGCAATCAACTTTCAAAATGCTTTAGTGCAAAAGAAAGCTTTACTTGATGAAATGCAGGATAAAATATTGAAAGGATTGATGATTCACAGGAGCAGTTGCAAAAATAGTTCCTGAAACTTGTTTTTAAGTTGGTTATGATTTACTTTTGTTTTTCTGATTCAATGAGATCAGTTGTTTTTTTTTTTTCAATCAGGATGTATGGATAAGTTCTAAACATAGATAATGATGAAGGCTACCAGTCCAGATAAAATCTCTGCAGTTGTTCTTGGCAAAGCTGTTTAAAAGTTGCATGAAGGATAAATGTTTCCCAACCCTATGAAAAGTGTGAGATCAGTAGCATAGCTAGTGTGTGTGCTTCCTGGTGCAGTCTTTGATTCCCCCCCCAAGCCCCTACAAAAAACACATATTGCACAGTGACTCATTGTTAAAGTTATATAGGGGTGTCCCTAAAGTCTGGACACAGGAAATCTCATTAACTCTGTTTTTAACCTCCACAGATTAAACATGGTTTTGTTGAAAGAAAGAATCGAACTTGACTTCTTTTTCTGGTGCATGCTAAAGGAGAAGGTGTACACAATAAAAATCACAGATGCAACACACTTGATTGAACTCATAAAGAGAGAATCTGCTAAAATTGACAGCAGTATTGAAGATGTTATTTATTATATTCCAATTCAAGAAAATGTGAAAAAATTCATTTCTTGAAAGTATGTATTTTTGCCTATGTCCAGACTTTAGGGACACTCTCTCATATATATATATATATATATATATATAATATTTTGATATTGTGTGTATTTAGGCAGCATTTTTTCATTAATGCATGTTTCATTAAATAATATAGACAAGTTTTGTCTATTTATTTTAAATAAGTTCCTTTCATATTGTCGAATAAGCTTTTTAGCATTATCACTGAAACACGAAAGAAAATCACTCTTGATACATGTTTTTATTATTAATCCTGTCTAAGCTTTCGGCTTACATAACCCATCATCAGAGATTACAAATACATTACGATAAATTAAATAACAAATTATATAACAAAGATGGTAATTTTTGTTTTAGAATGGTTATGCAGACATTGCAACAATGATATTTTGTTTTGTTTGCATGGAAGATTGCTATGCAACGATAAATTCATGCATATGAATAATATAAACTATGAAAACTCTACAAATATACTTGAATGCTTATAGTTCATAACAGGAGCTATTATTGGTTTATACCAACAGCTTTCCATACTTAATTCTTTTCTTCATTTTCACTCTCATGTGATCATGTGTGACATCATGAACCACAATATGATATTTTACTTCCTGCATTTCATTTCATTTCAGCACACCAAGTAGTAGAACGCCAGTATCTGTTCTGGTAGCTGTATTTTCTTCTTTCCCAGTTAACTTTCCTAGGGCACTTAAAATTTTTGAGAAATGTTTCTTTACTACACTTACAGCTTCTCCCTTCACACCCCACCAAGTTTCTATTATGCACTTGACACTTTGACTAGTGATTAAAGTTAAAACATCCCAATATTGGGTTGGTAAATAAATAAAAAAATAAAATGTTCCATACATCCAAAAAAGTAACAGAAATCACAGCAACAGAAGATGCATGAACATCCAAATTCAGCAAGTGATTTGTACAAGCTACAAATTCTGCTGTTTGATTAATTTTCTTGATAATGTTTCTAGACAACAGAATTTCCTTGATAATATAGACCAACCATCACTGCAGCATTGTCATATGCTTGCCCTCTACAATTTTGAATATCAATTCTTTCTCTAATTTTTCCAAAATCATTGTTGAAATATTCTCTGGTTTCACCTTTTTGCTTTAATGAAATCAACAAATGATTCCACAACCTTCACTTTATCTCCACCAATCATAAAATAGTATAAAACTTGGCTCATTTGATCCTTATGTGAAATATCAGGAGTTTTCTCTCATTTTCTATAAACTCACTTGTTCTGGATAGTAGGAGACAGATACAAAGTGGAAAATTTGTTTCCCAGCTGAATTGTTAGATGTTCATGTAGCACTGGATCATATTTCACCAGCAAATGAACTAGTTCTAAAAAAAATTCATTTATTTACCATTGCTCTAGGTTCAAAATCAGTCACATTTCTCTAATAATTCATTCCTTGTTGGTGGCCCCATAAAGCCAAATTCTGTTTCACTAGGAATCTAATAATATCAAGCAATCTTGAAAGGATTTCCTTCCACTTTTTCACTTAGCTTTCAACAACTTCTTATTCTTTTTTATTAGTTGTTGCTACACAAGCAATCCTAATTTCTAATTCCTTTCATTGTGTGAAATTCCAAAGGTTCGCTGCACTGAATTCATGCTTGGTTATTCTAGGATTCAGTTTCCACCATATGTTAAGTCCATGCTCAATTGTCTGAAAACAGTTTACAACAAAAGCAGTAAAGAACTTCCTGGAAAGGAGAGTACACCATCGATGATCTCAACATTTTTTTGCCATTTGGCAGTTTGATAAAAAAAAAACATTTGCATGTTAGTTTTCTAGTTTGTCCTATGGTTGATGTACCTTGATAAATTACTTCACCAACATCAGAATCTAGATTTTGAACCACAGACACTCTTCAATGTACCAGAAAGATATGTCTTTGCTAATCTTGTTTGGCCATAGCCCAACATCTTTTTTCGTCAATTATGTCCACAGCTGATATTGGAATATTTTCTTCATGTTCTTCATCACTTGGAGTTGATGAATCGTTTGAAGTTGGATCCCTTGAATTTGACAATGATTTGGATTTGTAAGCCTCTCCAGCTTCAGTAGTAGTAGTTTCTCTACACTTTATGTATTTTAATAGTGCCCCTTCATTCTTTTTTAATAATTCCTCTCTTGCCTTTTTTTTTTTTTTTTTTTATAAGAAACACCACTTTCTTTAGCTTGTTTTATCTGGGGATAGTGATAGAAGTATAAAATATTTGTTTTTCCAGAAATAAATTTACACTGCATGTTTAAAATAAAAAAAAATTAAAAAGACGAGAACTTTAGATAAAAGTGATGAAGCTAAATATTACAAGTCACAAATTCTATGCTGTTTTGACAACACATTAAGAAAAAGAAAACTCAGTGTAGTAAAAGAATGCTTTTATGAATTTACCAAAAAAAAAAAAAAGCATAAAATGTATTTTTATATATATTATATATATATATATATATATATATATATATAGTTGTGGTGTGGGCTTAGAGGTTAAATTAGTTAACTTACCAATGCCAAGAAGAATAATAAAATGATGATAATGATGAGGAAACATACAGGTAATATTAACAAAAACAATGGATTTATTCATAAAATCACAAGCAAGGAAGTAGTTCAGAAGCGATATTTAACAATACAGAAAAGTAAAAGAATTTGTTGTTGAACATATTTCATAATGAGAAAATGTTCATACAAGGTTAGAATGTCCAGACACAAAATATTAGTAAAAATTTTTTTTTTTTACTCCCTTAAAGAAATTTGCAGCATTACAAGAAAGATAGTTGAAGTAAATAGGTTTTCCTGCTTGGTGAGGAAGGACCATTTGTCTCACTGGGCGATTAATAGCCTAGAATAGGCCAGTATATACCACCTGGGGCGGACCTCCCTACACCACCTCCCTCTAGCTATATATGTCCTCTTCACAAAAATACAGATAAGCTCTCATCCCCATAACAATATCACCCCTATCAGCCTCCTTTGTGTCATCAAACATTTAAGGCTATCAAGAAAATTATTGATCACCTTGACAGAAACAATATCATGAGCAACAGATAGTATGGTTTTCTCTCCTGTAGATCCACTGCTGATATATTATTATTATTATGTATAGAATCACTGAAGTGCTTGATAATAAACATGCCGCAGGAGTGATTGCCTTATCTATCTCAAAGTCCTTTAACAAGGCATTGGGGGCTACTACACAACCTCTCCATTTATGGAATTTCTGAAAGAGTCTTTATTATATCCTTCCTATCAGGTAGGTCCATGAAAGTCACCATTAATGGCCAATCCTCTGAAGCACATGAGATCAATGCTAGTCTCCACCATGGATCTCTCTTCAGTTCTACCCTCATTCTATTCTAAAGTATAATTTAATGTCTTTGAAAATTCTAAGAAATCTGATATCTGCTGATGTTTCAATTTAATTTTGCTTTTATCAGTACTTGATCTGTACTTATTGTTGAGAAGGCTTTTTACTATATGTATTAATTTGTTTATAGATTCAGTTATCTCTAAATGATGTTTTCTTTATTACCCTTCTGAATACTATCTACAATGAAAAATATGGGATTTCATGAGAAACCTGGGATTGTCAGGGAATTTTTCCCTTATGCTGAGAGCCCTGGTTATGTTATTATGCACACTCTATACTACAAATGGCCATTTAAAAACCTTTTTTAGAATGAATAATGAGTGATAAGCATTTTTAAGTACTGGTGATTTTCTTGGGTATCTTGAAAATAATGCATTTTCTAGTAACAAAGTTGATACTATTAAATACCCTTGAAAAACCTCATCTAGGAAAAATAACTAATGGACATCTTTAAGGATTTGATGTCCAAGATGGACACCATATTTAAAAAAACACAGAAAATCTGGGGACTGTTATGTTATACTATGCAAAACTGAAAAGTTAACTGCTAGTATTTAACATCTTATTTAGATACTGTGCAAGTTGTAACTCCTTGCTTTCACAAAGCTGTTCTAAATGTTACTGGCTATTGGTTATGTTTGATAAATCAACAAATGTTTTCAAACAAGTACTTTTGTAAATCTTTTTTAAATGCCATGTCCCTTCAGGGTATATGTTATCATGACTCTCCATAGCTGCTTTTTCCTTTATTATCTGTGAATTGCTAAGCCACCTTGGGACAATAGAGTGGTTTCTCATTGCCTTCACTGTGATTTGGAATTCAATTTTTGCAGTGAAGAAAATGGCAACTTACCTTATCAAAACAAGTGACAGCATGTCACATGTTATCTGTTGGGGAGAAAGAAGGCTCTCATGATATCTCGTTTTATATAGAAAACACCATCTAAATTGGCCACCTCAACCAATCACGGACTTGCTTACATATAAGCTGAGTATCTCAAATGATGGGACATGGTTTCTTGTTCAATTTAGTGTGTGAAGGACAGTTTTCAACCTGTGGATTTTTTTTTTTTTTTGTTGCCACTTCTAGAACTCTGGTATTAGTGCTACTTTAAATACTAAAATAGTCATTGTTATAAAATTTTATTTTCATTCTTTTTGTATAAGTTTTAATTTTGTGATGATGAAAAATCTAAAACTTAGTAACCTGTATTCTGACACTACACCCACAAAAGCAGCATATAGATTTTGCAAAAAGAGAAACAACATTCATGGAGAAAAATAACTTATTTCCTAAAATAAATTTATTTGCTTTTGAAAACAAACTTAGTGACTCAATTCTATTTATGAACTCTTATTTTTAACTTCTCTTTTTCTGTTTAAGGAACAGGAACCCAATTCTTACTGATCTTGTTTATACATTTTTATTTTTCAGTTTTTATAGCTTTTACAACATTTCATTTGTATGCAAATATCAATATTTTTATATTTATCTTTGACTATTTTGGATACTGTAATCTTACATACAGAGTTTACTGCTATCTACCAAATATTCCTATAATTTTAAAACTTCTTAAAAGTATTTGCTTGCAACAACTAATATTTGATATTTTTTTTTTTTTTTTTTTTTTTTTTTTAAATGAAACATATTTGGTTATTTTATTCAAATTTGCATACAAAATTTTGTGATAAATTTGGTCATTATTATTGTTTTATATATATATATATATATATATATATATATATATATATATATATATATTTTAAACCCACTAGAAAAAATTAACCTGTACATAGTGCAACTGGACACCAAAAATGCATGTTTTTTTTTTTTTACCCTCTTCAAAAAAATAACCTGTATATAATGTGACCCCAACCTTTTTTTTTTTTTTTCTCCACACACAAAAAAATCCTAAAAACTATACTGGAATATATATGGTACTCATAAATATTCTAGATACTATTAAAATATATCCCCATAAGAAAAAATACACAAATTTCTCTATTCAAGTAATACATAGTATATTTATATATAATCTACTGAGTATTGGACTGTCCTGTCCCTTCAGAATGTTCATGATCATGGCTCTCCACAATTTCCTGTCCTTTGTAACTCTTAATAAATTTTGTCTTTTTGTTATCTCTCCTAAACTTTGTTCCACCATCTATTTTTTCAAGCTTTCCAGGTAGGTTAGGTGCTGTTTTCCTCTGTGCCTCTTGTATTCAATCTTTCCAAGGGCTCTTTCCTCATTATGTGCTCTTTCAGATGATATGTATGTGTCTTTTTTGTTTCCATTTTTTCTAAAGCTTTGTTGTTTCTTACATGTTCAGTATTCTCAGCATCTTTCTGTAGAACCACATTTCTATTGCTTTTTCATCTGTGAGGAGATTGTGCAGCATTCACTGCAATATTCAGAGTTCAGTACTCTTTTGTTTTTAACAATTTTTCTATTTCTTAACACTTTGCTTAGCTTTTGGAAGACCTCTTTTCATATCCCAATGCACCTTCGGATTTCAGTGTCTCATGTTCTGTCCTCCATTAAAACACTTCTCAAATATTTAAAATTGTTGTACTTGTTTGATTTTGCAAATCTCCAATTGGTAATTTGCATGTTCAGTTGTTCCTTTTGCTAACAACCATGTCTTCTTGCAATTGAAGTTTAGTTCTTTCTTTTTTGCTTTACTCTGGGTTTACTACCACATGTTGAAACACTGGTTCCTGTATGATCACCAAAGTTAAGCAATGTTGAGCTTGATCAGTACCTAGATGGGAGATCGCTTGGGAATACCAGGTGCTGTAAGCTTGGATGTACAGGCTTGGAATTGTTACTCAGAGAAGTTCCAATTTTTGTTGGGTTTGTTTCAAATACCCTTGGGAAAGGTATGAAGCTACCTCCCAGCGATGGGTTAATTAGTAAAACTTGTATCACTAAACTATTATCTAAAAAAAAAAAAAAAATTTTTTAAATATATAAATAAAAATTTTAAAAATTCTTACAATCTAAAAATATTTTCAGGTTTTAAATAACTTTATTGTTTATAGAAAATAATCACTTTTTTCTGTAACAGTTCTTGTCATTTCTTTTCTGTGTCTGCTATCAAAATTCATCTGCTTATTTTATGTTAAGATTGTGACCATCAATAATGAATCCTGGTAGGACTTCTAATTGTCTCAGAATTGCTTCACTGTATAGTTTTTGTAAGTCCAGTGAAAGACATATTCTTGTCTTACCCACCTTTCTATTTTTGTATATTTACTGAATTCATTTTCTATCCATGAAAATATTAAAAAAAATCAGAAATAACTAATATTTTATATCAATAACTGTATTATGGATGCTAATGTGGGTTAGTAATAGTAAAATTGATATTTGAGTTTTCTGTCTCAAGGCAACATGCAAGCAAAAGATTGCTACTGAGATATCTGGCACACAACTTTTCTCTAATTCTTATAAAAATATAGCCATATTTCATGCCAAGTAAATAAATATGAAATAGTTACATATTTAAATACCAATGAAGTAATGCTTCAAATTCCTGAAATGTATCTCCCTTCAGTGTTATCATTTAAGCATAGTTTTGAAGTTTATCTTGTTGCATTTTCTACACAACTCATCTTGTTATTTATAACTTTCTCAGCACAGTCTATATTTCAGTTTATACTTATAACTAAGGTTCTTAATGTGTGCTATCTTTTGGTTGTTTTTTAAAACAATATGGCAAAATACTGCCAAAATATTTCAATAAAATAAACTTGTAATTTATCTGGCTCACTAGTAGCACTTACTTTTCAAGTGCAGCCTATCAATAGTTGAAAGAGTAGAATGCTATCCTGAAAGGATAAATGCTGGATGTGGGTGCTGTTGCTACCAATGTGGATGTAGCTCATTTATTGAGCACATGTTTATATAAACAAGTTTGGTTCAATTAAAATATCAAAAAGCTCAGACATTTTTATTACTTGTTCTTTTAAAGTAGTTTCATCCAGATGATATTTAAGCTACTTTTAAAACACAGAAGTTTTGATTAAACGTATTAATATTATCCAACTTTACTACTTAGTAATTCAACTTTTGAAATTTTCATTCAATTATTTTTTTTATTTTAGATTGTTCAATACTGCTGAATCAGAAAAAAAGGTGAGTTCTGAATTTTTTAAACTGTTTCATTCTTTCTTGATGTTAGACATAATAGCTGACAGTATAGAAAAGGCCTTTTCTCTCCATCTGCGAACATCTTTGTCTTCGGTGACTTTAATGCTTGCCATGACATATGGCTGAAATATTCTAATGGTACTGATGTTGCCGGTATTCAGACATTAAATTTTCCCATTGCCCAATCTCTTACTCGTGAACTTTCCTATTCATTTCCCTAGCAAAACCCAGCAACATGTTTCTCTACTTGATTTATTTCTTACTTCCTATCCGCACTCTTGCACAATACTGTCTTTTTGGCAATTCAGACCACTCTGTGGTAGCGACTGATATTTCATTCCAATCATCTATTAAACAGGAACCCCCTATCCATAAGACCTCTTTCCATTCCCAGCATGTTGTTTGGGACTAATTTTCTTCATTGATTCCTGTGGACTGATATTTTCAACCTCCCAATTGAAAATTTGTGTCACAGAGGTTTCTTCTTTGGTTAAAGCCGGAATGCACACTTTAATCCCTTCTCGGAAAAACCAGGTGAAACCTCAATCCTCTCCATGGTTCACACCAGCATGTTTGGTGACTATAGCACACAGAAACCATTATTTTGGGCTTAGACCAGCATTGCAGCTTTTGTCAAAACTGGCGCCTATTCATTATTGCCCATATATGCATATAACCCCATCTATTGTTTCTTTTCTAACTTTGATCCCCATAAAACATGTGGACCTGATGATATCCTTGTAATAGACATTAAGAGGTGTGCTCCTGAACTGGCTCCTGTTCTCTCTAAACTGTATAATAAATGCCTCCTGCTTTCCTGCTGAAAGTCATTATCTGTTGTTCCAGTTTTTAAGAACTCTGGTGAACCATCTAACTCTTGCAACTATTGGCCTATTAGCCTTCTATCTGTCTTTGGGAAACTCCTAATAATGCTGAATTGGTTAATCATCTCTCATCGCAAGGCCTTTTCTCAGACAAACAATACAGCTTTTGTTTCTCCAGGTCAATTGCTGATGTACTGACAATAATTGTGGAAAGAGTCTACCATGCTTGAGATTAAAAATCTGTGAAGCCTGGGCTATAGTATTGGATGTCTCGAAAGCCTTTGACAATGTCTTCTCCACAAGTTGAAAAGTTATAGTATCTCCAAACATATTTTTGAACAGATCCAGTTTTTCCTATCAAATTGTAAAATGAAAGTTCAGGATAATCATAATGCATCTGGATCCTTTTGTACTAACGTGGGTGTCCCTCAGAGTTCCATCTTGGGTCCTATTCTCTTTTTCATTAATAGCTTTCCTGATGACATCAGCTTCCAACTCGGCATCCATTTACTCCTGCCTCAATAGTAAGGTTGATCAGTCTGACAGCTAATGTCTAAAGCGACCTCAAATCCATCATTAACTGGGGCAAAAGATAGCTTGTCTATTTTATCACCTCCAAAATTAAACTCCTCTCCAGTAATCGTCTGTGATACTCCTCTCTGCCTTTCATCAGCATGGCTGATGCTATCCTCCAGGAGAGTGACTCAGTGCACCTCCTCTGGCTCAAGTTCTCTGCTGACATGAAGTGGTAAGACTATATTGAATCCATTGCTAGATCTGGTGTGTTGTGCGATACAATTTTTCTCTCCAGAATCTATCTATAAGTCTACCATTTATCCATGCTTTATTGCTGCCACATATGGTCTGGTGCCTTTGCTATTTACCTTGAGCTCCTTGAGAAGATCCAAAGAAGAATCAGCAATATCATTGGTCCTGATCTGGCAGCTCAGCTTCAGTCAGTAACCCACCACCAGAACATTGCCTCTCTGTGCCTTTTTTATAAATACTTTCATGGTAATTGTTCAGATGAGCTCTTTACTATGGTACCTAGACTCTATAAATTTAAGTACAGTACTAGACTGTGTTGAGATTTTATCAATCTACAGTTGAGCTAGCTAGATGTGGCCGTAAGTTCTATGCTAGCAGTTTCTTTTCTCGCACTTTTTGCTTGTGGATTTCCCTTCCGGCTCCATGCTTTCCAGCCAACTTTAATCTGCAAAAATTTAAATGCTATGTCAATTACTATCTACTATCCTCCTGATTACTCTTTTCTCTCCTTGGTCATTAATGTTTCTGTTCTTAATTCTTCTATACCTTGTAACCCCTTGCATTTTAGTGGCTTTATTACCTTGTTTGGAGTGATACTGATTTAAAAAAAAAAAAAAAAAAAAAACTTGTACAGTTCTTTAAATTTTTTGATTTTAAATTAAATAAATTGCAAATTTAAAATAATTTGTTATTTATTGTTCTGTTAAAATACTGAAAATATAAAGTTGTTGATTTTTTGTTCCAGAGATAAAGGAAGAATGATAACAGTATGACAAAAAGAGAGAACAATATATGCCTCTAAATTAAATAAGTTTTGTTTAAAATTCTTAAGTTAACTGGTGTGATATAAATTTAAGAAAAAACATTACATTGAGGTGTTGAAATTGAAACAGTTTGAGAATATTGATAAGAAAATTGAATAGTGAATTATTTACATGTGTACTTTTGTTTTCATCTTTGTTATCACATTTCAGCTATTTTGCCCTCCAACCTTTATCAGGTGCTTATCAATCCAAACCTTTTATTTGATCTGTTGGTTGTAAACTCCTCATCTCAGAAATTCAGACTGAAATTAATGAATCAGTGCAGACCAAATGCAATATACCAATGAGTGTGATCAGAAAAGTTCTATGAAAATTAGCACAATCTATGTCTATTAATTAAATGGTTCAGTTTGAAATGCTCTGAAAGTTACTCAAATCAAAAAGCATCTGATGAAGATCAGAGGGCACAGTGGTCAAAAGGTTGTGAATAAGAACAAAGATATGGACAATAGTTCACATGTAAATAATGATAGCTCATCCATAAAATTTATACAGAAACTAATAGAGCATATTTATTAACTTATTGAAAAAAAGAAATACTGTACTAATTTTTTTCTTAGCATGTGGAAGATTTAAAAAGGAACTATTTAGTTGAGCAATTAACATACACTTTTTTAATAAATTTATATAATTCTAAAATTACCATTATTTTTTTTGCAACACCTTGAAATTTGGGTTGAAATATCTAAGTAATTTTTTATTAAGTAAATACTATAAAAATTGATGTTTTATTGTAACATTAAATTTAAAAATTAAAATCCTGACAATTTTCATGACTTTACATTTATTTACATTGCATAACCTATAAATGGTTTAACATAGCTTCTTAGCTGATAAAAATGTCTTTATATATTTTAATTTGACTTTTTTGTACATGCCTTATGTTTAACTTATCACACAAAGGAAATGGATAGATATTCAAGATAATTTGAACATGTTTTGTAGTGTTTCAGCAGTTTTTTATATAGCAATCAATCTTGCATCTGCTTTTTTTAATGAATTTTTCTTTATTTCACAAATGATTTAGAGGCTTAAATGTGATGCTATAAATAAACCTTTCTTTGTTATAGAAAATATTTTAGAAAAAACAAAAACTTAAAATTTATAGGAATTTTTTTTTAGAAACAGATTTTTTTCATTTTAAATATTTTTTTTGATCAAATGTAAATTTATAAAATAATATTGTAATTTGAGCTCATGAAAAATCAATGTCAATTTTATTAAAAAAAATTAACAGTTTTACCAGTGAAAAAAAATGTTAATCATTTTTAAGGAAATGAAAAATTGAAAAAAAAATTGTAATAGTGAATAGTAAGTAGACTTCAAAAAGATCATCATCCCAAGTTATTCATCTTCCAGAGCAAGGCTTATTGATAAACAATTTCCAGACTCATAAAATGTCTTTTACTTTTTAAACTTGATTTCAGTGATTGTTTCCAAATTTGCATAATTTAAATTTGATATTCCATTCTAAAAACCTTTAAATTTACAAGTTTATTTTGCTGTGGATATCCTTGCAGTTCTATATGGTAGTTAATCAAATTACATTGGATTATGATAATGCATTATAATAATAATGCATATTCAATACTTACAAAGTGATACATTAAAATATTTAAAAAAAGATTCTTAACATTTGCAAAGAGATTAACAAGCAAATCCATTGCAAAATAAAATTTACAGCCTTATCTGAATATTTCTGAAAATATTCAACATCAGCTGAAGACCAACTAATTTATTCTAAATTTTTTTTTACTGAAAATGAATTTTTTAACTTTAAAAAAAATGAGTCAAATCAATGATTGATGAATCACCAATCAAGCGTTTGAAAATAAAAAAAACAAAAAATAAATGAGGAATAAAAAGTAAAAAAAAATTAAAACAGCAGTAATGAATTAAAATTAAATTGATTTTACTAAAATTATCAAGAATCTACTTGTGTTAAGGAAAAGAAAAAAATTTGATGAAAAAAATTATTACACAAAAGAAAAAAAACTGAATTTTGAAAAAAAGGTCCCAAAAGTACAAATACTTCCAAGAAAAAAAATGTATCTAAAAATTTAAATAGAATTTGAATCACAATATACATGGTTATTTCAAAAATAAAAATATTGTAAATGAACAAGGAATATTAACTCTATCAAATACATTAAAATGTAGATTCCCACAAAAAAAAATTGAAGTTCTGTTGTTTTATAATAGTGATGTATCATATCAGAGTGATGCCTGGTAAAATGATCATAAGAAAATCTATAAAGAATATTGAAGGCTTTCAAGAAATAAAAAAGTATCTTGTACACATTTATAAAACTTTTCTTTTATAACAATTTTTAAATTAAAAGATCCAAACAGAATTAAAATTTCAAAATTTGCTGAGTCTTTCCTAAGGTATTTTCAGAATATATCTTAACCATTTTTATATAATATATTAAAATATTTTATGACTAGTTAGAGCCATTTGTTTTTGGGATGTAACAATAAAGATAGATCAAGTATCGACCATCATAAAGATTGAAAAAATAAAATTGACAAAGATTATTGTTTAAGGTTGACGGACCCATGTCTTAATAACATTTGTTTTTTTTTTACGATTGGTCAAATTCAAACAAAAAAATTGTTTTAAATCGTTATGAGTCTATCGATTGGTGAATAGAATTTTATTATAAACAATTGTCTTGTAAATGGAATTTTTAAAGCATTCTGAATGTAAATAAAGAAAAAAGTATGCAAGACAATAAAAATACTACCTGCCGAAAAAAAAAAAGTGGATGTTTGTTTTATCGGCTGAAAATGTAAAAATTTGATCCCATATATAAAGGAACACACACACACACACACACACACACACACACACATATAAATAACCTGGGTTTTTAACCTAAGTCACTCCACGGAATCGCTAAAAAACATAGAGCATAGTCTGATGAAAAAAAGATATATAAGTTTATGAAAAACAAAATTTTATCAAAAATGCTTATTTTTTTATGAAGAGGAAAGACTAAATTTTTTTTAAATATTTTTTAAAATTTTTCCATCTTTTTTAGAATATTCTAAATTTTGATTTAAAAAACCTTGTTTCTCTTTTGTTGCAACAAGGGGTAGTAAATAACATAGATAATTTTTAGCGCATTTTTTTTTGTATTTACACAACATTAATTTGAAAAATCTTGCAAAAAATAAAATAATTGTCAGATGTTAATGAAACTTTCAGAAACTATTCACAGATGATCGAAATTATTATAAATATGTTTTTTTATATATTTTTTTTTAGAAATATTTTTTTATTTTTATTAAGACCATCGGTTTTAGTGATTACTAATTTTAAAAAGCAACTTTAAAATGCAAATCATGTTTTCATTTTTTTTTTTTTTGTTACATACCTGAAAATCAGCTGTGAATTGTAACATACAAAACTCAATAAAACAAATATATTATTTAGTTTCAAATGCTTTTATTTGTTTTAATTTGTTTTTTATGAATATGGACAATATTTTCTGAAAGCAAAAAAAATTTTTCAATGAAAAATTTTTAATACAATTATTTCTTATTTCTTTAATTTTAAAAGATTTTTAAAAATGTTTAAATTGAATTTTAAAAATATTTTAACATTAGTTAAAAGCAACATCAACCTTTCAAAATGTCCGTGTGAGATTGTCATTGTCTAGCGCTTTGAAAATTGTATAATTTGGACCAATCAGATTAGCCATGGTAATTAAGAAATGTAATTTTTGTGTTTATAGTCGGACAGTAATTATCAAGTACGGAAGACCAACCAGAATACAATTTAGTTGCATTATTTGAGTTCAGCATTGTTCTCCGCTGTTAAGCCCTTTACTTTTCTGAAACACGTATGGAAAGTTAATTTGAGTTTTCAATTTCAACTGAGAAGGGTATCATCTTATGAAATTTAACTACTATAAACTTAAATTATATTAGATATATTAATCTCAGTTTTCTTTTTTCCAAAATTTATATCAAAATTAATAATAAAAATGAATGGAAATACAAATAACACAGTAAAATTAATAAATTAATTCCAAATTATAATTTTATGTACAAACGTAAAAATGAAAAGGTACTAAATTAAAAAAATAAAAATAAAAAATTAGACAGTCTTATTTTTTTTAGTTTTTATATATTTTCCAAAAGTAAACAAAAATGAAAGGTAAAAAAAAAAATAAAAAAAAAAAAATTGTTCTTAAAAGTAACAAGGTAAATAATTTGTTCACTTCCTTCCATCCGTAGAAAGAATTCTCCTCCCGTAAGTCATCTAAACATCATGAATGTTCCTTTTCGTCAAGGGACGCAAAAGGTTATGACCTGCTTTGTTTTATTTTCAAATTACATTTTTTCGGCGCAGAAGCTAAGTTAAGCTTGATTCAAAATATTTTAAATAAACAGTATAATCTCTGTTTTTATTAAAATCAGTTTTGAAAAAGATAATTGATTTTTAAAAGAATATCAAAGTAAGATTTTAATCTTTTTTTATCAAATCGAAAAAAAGGATTGAAAATGATTGATTATCTGCCCTTTTTTCTTTTTTTCTTTTTTTGACCAAAAAAAAACAATATTTTTAATGAAAATTTCAGACATGCTAGCAATGATTATAAAATGTAAAAAAATACCCCCAAAATACTTTGATCTTTCCTCTTTAATAATAATATGAACATTAGACGATAAAATTTTGTTTTCGTCAAGTTGGGCTTTTTTTTCATCATGCTATGCTCTTTTGTTTACATTTTCGTGGGTGAGTTGTCCCCCTTTCATTCTCACAATGTGTCTTAATCGTGTTTTCAAATTGATTTTATTAAAAAACAACTGTATTTTTCCCATTTTCGGCCCCGTTAGAACCACCACAAGGTAATTTTATGTAGTCCTGTGAAGTTTTGTTGAAATCAGCTAAAAAATGTAGGAAATTCGATCCAACATATAAATGTTACAGAGACACACACACACACACACACACACACACAATCTGCGTTTTATAATAAGTAAGATGATTGTGTGTGTGGCGGTGGGGGGGAGCTCATCTTGTAGAGATTTGATAGAGGATTTGTTTTATATTTCGAAGAAATTCTAAATAAAAATTTAATAGATGATTTTATCTACAAACAGCGGCTTTCATCTGATATAACCACACTCCAAACTGTATCATAATCTATAGAAGAATTTATTGAAACTTTTTGCATAGGCTTTCAAACTTTAAAAAAGCATGAGTTCATTGACAAAGAATGATCAAAATTTTGTTCTAATCAGAAAAGTTCTTTGATGAATGGTGAAGACATTTATTGCAGATTTTGCTGAGAATTATTCATTTATTTTGCAGGATGCTGCACAAGACTTCCACTGGAATAATTCTCAAGTCACATTACATCCATTTGACTGTTATTACAGAAATGACAAACAGCTGGAGCATATTCATATTGTAATTATATCAGATTCATGGCACAGTAACTGTCCTTTTTGTTCCAAAGAAAACTTATAGAAGTACTGAAAAAAAATTCTTAATTTAAAAATAAAAACAATCTGATCTATTTCTCTGATGGTGCCACTTCAAATTATAAAAATGTTATCAATTTGTGCAACCATAAGACTGACTTTGGTATTGATGCAGGGTGCACTTTGTTTGCTACATCTTATGGGAAAAGACCTTGTGATGGGTTACGTGGCACTATTCAGAGATTAACAGCAACCCTATAATGACACAAAGACAGTTGGTTAATTATGCAAGAAAAAAGATTTCAGGCATAAATATTTTGTATTCTTCAACAAATGAATGGACAAATAAAGCAGAAATCTTAGAAAATAGATTAAAAAGTGCTTTGACAATTACAGGAACTCAAAAATTATATAGTTTTATTACTGTCTCGGAAAGAGATAGAAGTAAAAACAATATCAACTCAAGATGAAAGAAAAATAGTTAAAATTATAAAACAGGACAATATAGACTTTGAAAACATTAAGGCGTTTGTTAAAGCAATCTATGGTAGGAATTGGTAGTTAGGATGTGTGCTTAAAAATATTCTGATATTGAGGAGGTAAAATTGACATTTTTACAACCAAAGGGTGCCTCCTCATCTTTCCATTATCCATTATATCCAGATATATTAATTTTAAATTATTCTGATATTCTTAGATTAGTTGAACCAATAAAAGATCTTACAAACTTTCCAAAATTGAGATGGAAAAAGCTTCAAATATTTTAGAAAAGAGAATTTCTTGAAATGACCTTAAATAGAGAAACAATCAAAGTTGGTCATCACAAAAAAAAAGTAAATGGTTTAGATATACAAATTTTTATATTTTATTTAAACATGTATTCCAACAAGAAAAATAAGTTTGCTTATTAATCTTTGTAAATGTTAAGAATCTTTTTAAATATTCATTTTAATGTATCACTTTTTCAGATTAAAACTTAATTTTTTTTTAAATGTATATAAAAAAAAACCTGAAAATTTGATTTTGTGCATTTAGTGTACAATGTCAACAAAAATTTGTTAGCCATTAAAATCATTTGTTGCATATTTTCATATTTTATTATTCATATAAAAATCTATTTTTTGTATAATAAAAATGTATTGTAAAACAAAAAAATAATATTGTTTATTTACCAAATTGGTTAACATTTAACCACAAATAACACAAATTAAAATTCTGTTGATTTTATGATCATAGTTCTTATGTGACTCTTAATCAACAAAGAGCTTTTTAAAGATATATAACTTGACCATATTGGGTGATATGAAAGTGTTAGCATATAGTGGCAGATGTGCAAATCCAACATTCAATTTCTATCATGAAGCTCTATAAGTGTACCAAATTTGAAAAAAAAAAATCTGTGTCAATAATGGTCAGACCCATGTGGATTTGACTCAATTGTAATTTGAACCAACACTTTTTTTTATAAAGCTCACATGTAATGCTTAGTTTTAATATTTTGATGTTTTCTTAATTTTGATGTGATATTTTGTTTATTTTAGTTTATGACCATTCAAGATGAAGAAATATTGTTACAGTTTAAGAAGACTTCAGAAGAAAGGTTTGTTTTTTATGTATTCAAAGCATGTATACTGATACATAAAATATTTAAACTATAGTAATCAAATTCCTAATTCCAAGCTTTGTTCTGATAATTGAACTTTTGTTAACAAGTTTTGACTACTTCCTCCTGCAACTTTCTTCAAATGTAATATTTGTGAGAAAAGAAAATTGTTCTCCCCATCAACACACACCAGATTATAACAGTAAAATTGTTACTAATATAACAGATTAGTTCATTCTAATAATAAGAGATATACAGAAGATACCATTTATGAAGGAGATTCTCATGTACAGCTGTGTTCTCTATTAAGGAAACTACACTGTACTGAAATCTGTAGGAGTCAGACATATACAACTCACTGACAATGTATGTTTTTGTTTTTTTGGGGGGGGGTCAATCTCCATCAATTGTTCATATTAATCCCATAGAGCATACCCATTTCACTCTAGCTATGATCTGCCATACCATATATTTTCCTTTTTTACTATCCCTTTGCTTCTAGCTTTCTAATGTTGTTTAAATCTGATTTTATGAAGATGGTTCATTTCTCCTTTATATTCTTTTCTATATTTGCATGGAATGTTATAAATGTAATCTTTTGTCAAACTTGTCTTCCATAAGACTAAGCAAATTGTCAAGCATGCTTTGGCTATTGAAAATCACTTGCATATCCTTTGGATACATTCTTATTTTATATGTGTGCTGTAGCTACATAGCAATTTTGGAGATCCTTCTATTTCCCATCTTAAAAACAACAAAAAAACAAAGTAGTACCTACTGATCTTTTAGTTTTTCTTTTAGTAATGTGGGGTAAATTTGCCAAATGTTGAAAGCAAGGAACTAATCTTTTCTTAACATCAGAGATGGTGTTTGTAAACTTTGTTTCTTCTGGCACATAAATAATTCCTGAAATCTGTTTCCTCTAGTCAAACACTCCACTGACCGCAGCATGTGTCACCTATTCAATACAGCAGTACCCATTCTGTCTGTTGCCTCATTATACCCTTTTTTTTATATCCTCATTGACAGCCAAAATTTATATATATGAAAAGACTCTTGTAAGAAAGTATCTGACTCCAGGATCTATCTGTTTTAAATGTGTAACTCATGAAGCTGCCATTTATTCCTTTTTGGACAGTTTACATGTGAACCTGTGTTCACTCTAAAGGTAAGCCATTTTCTTCTAGTGTTGCAAAAAAATGCATGCAACTCTGGGCTTCTTTGCCCTCTACAGTAATTCACTACAGATAGTTAGAATCAAACTTCAGGCACAACCTTGTTTTTTTTTTGTTTTTTTTGTTTTTTTCTGCTTACACAAGTGCTAGACACTTGCATCCTCATGTATTGGTTATTATGAAATCTCATCCTTCATTGTGAACTGTATATACATGGTTGAAGTGAGTTCACATGATCTATCAGGACACCTAAGTTCAATTGGTGGGACCTGAGAATAAATGTGCTATGTACCAAATTAATGGTTGCATCAACAATACAGAGAAGTACAATTCTTTGAACAAACATTGTGGAATATTAATGACTTGTCTCAATGTTAGATAACAAATTCCTTATCAAAAACCCTTCTCTCTCAGCCAAAATATTTATTCAATTTATTAAGTAGACATTTTTTATATTTCCAATATTAATTTTATAGAATAACATTATTTTTCCATTATATTCTGCCATCTTTCTGACAGCTTTATAATTTTATCCTCCCAGAAAATTTCATATTTCTCAAAAAAAAAAAAACTGCTTTTATTGCCTTTTTAGTTTTCTAATAAATTTTCATTGAAATAATTTTGTAAAAACCAGATTAAATGGTAATCCAAAAGTGTAATATCTGATTAATATAGCAGATAAGTAAAAACTTTCCCACCAAAAGAAAAATGTGCTTTTGTGTTATCCTGATGTATCAACTAATTATGCATACTTTTAAATGATTGTTGCTAGAGATAAACTCATAATAATGGACTCTCTTCCAATCCCTTCATATACACAGCATTATCCTTCTTTAGATAAAGCCTGGTCTTCAGTACATTTAATAGTGCTTCATTTCAATTGCCGTATAATCTCTTGCAATTTTTAACATTTTGAGAAAGATTTTGGGGTACTGAAATTAAAAAAAATATTAGCTTTAACTATTTTGTAAAAATTACATGGTGCTTCTAAAAACTGTATGAACCTTATATTCTAAGATCTGGAGTGTTTAGGATTCAGAATTAAGAATTTTAAAGTTTGTATGAATGTGGGAATTTGTTATCTTATGTTACTTTCCATTGTCTTCAAGGAATTATCTGGTTCCAAAGGATTTCCAAGTTATTTCACTGGTCAGGGTCCATTTTTATAAAGTTATACAGTGAACTGAACATCCCTCATTAAAATTTTTGGATAATCATATTTTACTAATCAAATAATCAATTATCTAAACAAAATTGACTAATTTAATATTTTTACAGTTTTTTTTATTTTTTTTTTTTTTATATTAAACTGGTCAATATTTTTGTTTTGCATTTTTAACAAGAATGCTAGTAAAATTAAACATTATTTTTTACTTGTGTGTAAGTAATTACTTTTTTAAATCTTTTTATGGAAAATAATATCAGAAAAAATATTAAATTAAATTTTTATTCAATTTTTTTTTTTTTTTTTTTTTTCAAATATGAAATTTCTGTATAGTAACTTTAGAAAATTAGCAGTATAAAAAGTTACATTGATTTTTTTTTTTTTTTTTTTTTTTTTTTTTTTTTCCCATTCTTGCAAGAACGGTATATGAACATAAATAAGTAATAAAGGAAAAGAGATTTGCTTCCAAGGGTGCATGTATACAAAACAGATTACAAGATAAACTATTATCAGATGGAGATGTGTTAAGAGAACATCTTTTTGTAAAGGTACTAGACCACCATACTTGATATGACTGATCCTGAAACCAACTAAAACCACAACCACACCTGATTACGCAGATATTGTATCCATGAAATGCATCAACAACATGAAGAGAAAAGTAGCAGAAACAGAAGATCAACCTAGCCAGATTTATAGCAATAACCTACTACTGCTGCTCCCAAGCATTGTATCATTTTTTTTCCTATTTTCCCACTTGTGCCATTTTTACCCGTGTCATTATTACTGTGCACTATATCAGCATACTTGCACATGTTATAAAGAAAACACAAATTATTCCTTAAAAATGAATTTTATAATCAAGATATTCGTTATTATGAAGAATAATAGCATAAAGAAAAAAAAAATTAACTTTCTGTGATAATGACTTTTTCTTTTTTTTCTTTTCTTTTCTCTTTTTTTTTTTTTTTGTGAATTTGCTGTTTAAAAACAAATAATGTAAAAATGAGAAAGATAATCTTGACAAGAAAATAACATCTTTACATTTTTGTGATATATTTTTAATAGTTGTAAAATATTAAATTTATTGAATTTAATTTTTAGAACCAACTTTGTAATAAATTCTTTAATAAGTATCATTTTTCATTCATTTCACCTTAAAAAAAAAGGTTAGCTTTGTTTTAGCTTTTGTTTCTATTTATACTCTAAAAAGAAAATAATACACTTTTGTTCTGTTAAAGAAAAACAAATTATCCATAAAATTAATTTTATACTTAATATCATTGTTCAAGAACAATCGCATAGAGAAAAATATTAATTTATATTAACTTTTTATTTATAATGACACTTGTGAATTTTGCACTGAAAAAGTTAAAGATAAAATGTTGCAAGTTCAAATAAAATAAACATTACTTACTTCAGTATCTTGAATAATAAACTTAATACAAAGGAAAAATTTCTTTAAAAACAAAAATTAAATTCTTAATCCAGTTCCAGCAACGAACGTTTTTATGTTGGCCTTCAGTGCCTAAATAGCTACTTGCACTGTATAGGCCTGAGTTAATACAGTGCATATCATTACATTATAAACAAAAACTTTCTCTGTTAGATTTGATCTAATATACTCACATGTTTCCTTGATACTTTTGAGTTTGAATTCCAGTTGGGTTCATTATGTTCACTTATGTACAAATACCTTTGTTATACCATGTTATAGGTTAAATAGTAGGACTTTTATCAGAAAAAAATCATTATTCTAAAAAAAATTATCAATGCAATATTTACTCACAAAAAAGTTATTCTTACCATTCAAAATGTTTTGACATTAGCTGTAAAAACAAGGAAATCAATGAATTCCTTGATCAGTCAACATAGTTATATTTTGATTTCACTTGAGAGTAGCATAAGATTATTAATGTAATGGAAATGGTATCTGAGATGGTTTTTATTATAACAGCTAGAATTATGCAAATCATAATGTAACCATAAATCTATCTGAAAAGTAATTAAAGATGTTGATAAATTGCAAATATTATCTTCTCTATGACAATGGTTTGTCACATTTTGTGGGTGAGATTTATATCATTAACTTAATTTTTCATCAGTAAAATACCTTGAGTGACTGTCACTACATACAGAAAACCTACAAATAAAGTTTTATTCTTCAATATAGTCTGGTGGAATCTCCCACAAGACTAAATGGCAAAGAATATCACTCTGATGTTCAAAATTTCTAAATCTTAATTTCCATATTTCAAAACAGTTGGAATATTTAACTGCACTGTATTGAAAACATGCATCTTATCAGTTTTCTGGATTGTTTTTTTTTTTTTTTTTTTTCTTTTCTTTTTTTTCATTATCTAAAAAAAAGATCAGATATGTTCAATATGATTGATGTCAGGAAACTGACTTGACTATAAGAATTCTCAAATAGCTTTCAGTGGCAATTCTCATGGCTTTTTGTGATAAATTTTACTTTTCTTTTTTTCTTTTTTATTAATAAAGTGAAAAATACATAAGAGCTGAAGGTTGCTATATCAAAGCAACCTAGGCTTCTATAACAATACTGCAGACTGATCTCTGCATTGATGCAGTCATTTATTTAAAAGGAGTCAAAACCAAGTATTTGAGTGCATAATTAAATATATATTTGAGAAATTCAGCATTTCTGTATAACACTTTATCATGAAATATATTAATATCTTGAGAATGATTCCCCCCACCATGAGCTGTATGTTGTAATCATCAGAATTGAATTATTACTTTATGTGTAATAAATATATGAAAGTTTCATTTTTTTTTTTTTTTTTTTTTTTAACTAAATTATAGAAAAAGGGAACTTTTCTATATTTTTTTCTGATTGCCTGCATATAATATGCCCTTTTTATATTTTTGTTTTTAGCACTAAGTTATTGAAGACACTTTATAGCAGTGTTTCTAAACTGGTGTGCCTAGGTGCACTAATGTTCCCTGAAATATGTACCCCATGTTAACAGAAGAGTAATTTATGAATTATTTTTATATTTAAAAAGAATCTTTATTTTTAAAAAGCTACAAACACCAAGCCTATGGCTTTCATGCCTATGCCAAGTCTGTCATTTAATAATCTTTAAGTAGAAATGAATAATCATTTCCCTTTTGCCTTCCACAAGGGATTTAAACCAGACATTGGTCTCTCTAAAAAAAAAAAAAAAAAAAAACAGATCCTACATAAATCCCTTAAATGAAAACAGTACTGTTAATCTTCTTTGGGGATGCTAAACCAAAAATGACTACCATTAAAGGTAATTTTCTTGTTTGCATATGAAGCACAAGTTTTATACAAGCATCATGCAGGTATCCCCAGGGCTCTGTCCTTGGCACTACTTTGTTTTTAATTTTCATTAACAACTTTTTTGATGACATTAGCTCTTAACTTGGTATCTCTACTGATGACACAACCATTTACTCTTGTCTCTATAGTAAGTTTAATCAATTTGATAAAGTAAAATTAGTGGCTGATTTCAAACAACCTACAGTCTGTTGTTAACTAGGGCAAATAAAGGCTTGTTAATTTTAACATCTCTAAAACAAAACTGCTCTCTATTAATCATCTGAGAGACCTCTTTCTGCCTTCTATCAGCATGGCTGGTGCTAACCTCCACAAGAGTGACTCGCTGTGCCTTTTCCGCTGACATGAAGTGGAAAGACTATATTGAATCCCTTGCTATGTTGTCTGCTAAGATAGTTGGTTCACTGTGTCATGCTAGATAATTTTTCTCTCTTGAATCTATATTACATATCTATAAGTCTATCATTCATCCACGCTTAGAATATTGCTGCCACGTATAATTTGGTGATCCTGCTATATATTTAAATTCTTGATAAAATCCAAAGAATCAGCAATATTATTGGTCCTGACCTGGCATCCTGGCTTCAGTGACTTTCCCACTACTTCATCCTTGTGCCTTATAAATACTTTCATGGTAATTGTTCAGATGAGCTCTTTGCTGTGTTACTTAGACTTTATGAATTTAAGCACAGTACTAAAAAAGCAACAAGGTCTCATCAATTTACAGTTGAATTGACTAGATGTAACCATAAGTTCTATGCTAACAATTTCTTTTCTCACTTATGGAACTCTCTTCCAGTTCTGTGCTTTCCAGCCAATTTTGATCTTCAAAAATTTAAATGCAATCTCAATCCTTATCTACTGTCTTCCTGATTATTCTTCGATAACTCTTGCTCCATAATAATGTTTCTCTTTTCTAATTATTTCACATCCAGTAAACCTTTGTGTCTTAGTGACTTTACTGCCTTGCTTGGGGTAAATTCAATTTAATAATACAAGTCTACAATAAATCATAAAAATATTTTCAATTCTGAGTAGTGATTTATTGGGTTGGAACAAAAGATTGTTGCATTTTTTTAAGTGCATTTCAAAGATAATATTTGGTACAGCTACATATATGCCATTTTGTTCCACTGCTTTTTGCCATGTTTGAGGAAGTTTAAGAATTCCATCCTCCCAGAAATTGGTATCTTTCTAGGTGAAGAACTTGTCTTAGTGGTTTTTCCAGGCTACCAGAGAATTGAAGTTTTTTTTCTAATAAGAAACTTTTGTAGGGATCAAAATAAGTTGTAATCTAAAGATGTAAAGTCAGGTGAGTACAGTAGCTGTACCAATTACTGCAATGTTTACAAAGACATGATATCTAGCATTTTCTGATGGAAGAGGACACCCAACCAATTGGCCAATTTTGGATGCTTTTCATCAATTGCTGCTTTTTAATTAGGAACAGTACTTGTCTGAATTCAGCAGATGATTTTGTGGAAGGAGTTTGTAATAATACATAAAGCCCTTCTAATACCAGTAGATACACACTCTCTTTTAGAGTGGTTAATGGTGGCTCATTTCATTTTCCCTAAGATCTTTTTTATTCAACATTGTTGTAAATAATCCGTTTTTCATTGCCTGTGATCATCCTTTTCAAAAATGGGTTGTTTTTGTTGAATTTATGTAAAGAATTGCAGATGGAAATGTAGTCCATTAAATTCTTTTCTGCTAAATTGTAAAGCACCCAAACCTAACAATTCACATATCCAAGTGTTTTCAAATGCCTTGTAAACCTCATATGAGATAAGTAGAGTATCTGCAATGTCCCATGTCATGTGACCTGAATTGCTTTGATTTAATTATCATCAGAACATTCTCAGTCTTCTAGATCAATATTTCCACTTCTGAAACTAGTGAACAAAAAATACTCTCAGCTCTGGCACTATCTCCGTAAACAGTACAGCTTTCTTTTTTTTCTTGATTGTACAGCATTTTCCCTTTTCAAAAAATAAGAATTCCTCAACACAAATAGTGAATGCCCAGTGGAGTAATGGATAGTGACTTGCATTGAGGAATTGGAGAGCCAGATTCAAATTCCAGTCAAGTTTGTTACATTCACTTACATGCAAATACACTTGAGGAAGGTATGAATACATCTCTTCTCCCCAGTTATGGGTAAATAGCAGGACAGACTGGGTGTCAATTGGTTTAAGAGAAAGACAAATCTGAATTCAAATGTCCAACTATAGGTTAAATAACCTCACCAACTCACAATTGGCCAAGCAAGGTTTGTATGGCTACACCTTTATGAAGACCTGGGCAATCAGGGACAGGTTCTTTCACCAGGAGTGAGAATCCCCTGGATTTGGAAAAATAGTAGCTACTAAATGACCCATATTTTATTCAAAACACAGTATGCTTAATGTTTTTTGTTTTTAACATATTAAAAAAAATTCACAATTGTTCACTTGACTTACATTACTTTCCTTTATTATCTGTGAATTGCCACAACTTTTTGGGAAGGATATTAGAATAGTTTCCTGTTAATTTCTCCAAGGTTTGGAATTAAGAATTTTTTCTTTAAGAGAAATGTGATCATGGCTTTCCAGATTCCTTTTTCTTTCCTTTTTCTTTTTTTTTTTTTTTTTTTTTTTTTTTTTTTTTTTTTTTTTTTTTTTTTTTTTTTTTAAATATCTGAATTGCCATGATTTCTTGGGGAAAAATTGTGTAGTGATTCCCTGTTACTTTCTCCACAGCTTTGAATTCATGGTTGTCCTTTTTATTCTGACTGTCACCCAAGGTTAGAGAGTCCTATTTAACCAATAACCAGGTAATAAGAGATTGGTTTATGCTTTTCTCACTGGCTTTAGTGCAATAATTGTTATACTACCTACACCTCCAAACATCATCAATAGTTTGCATTGTAATGCAAAACCATATTCAAATATGAAATATGATACTTCCAGTTAGTATAATTCATCATTGTGTTCTAACTTATTGATAAAATAACTGATTTAGATAGGGATTTAATATTAGAAAGTAATGAATTGTAACATGTAATTCAAATGAAATCACTATATGTAGTGTGAGAACCTTATCAAAAACAAAAAATTTTTCTTTTCTTTTCTTTTTTTTTTTTTTTTTTTTTTTTTTTGCACCCTAAAAGATATAAAAATATCTTGAAATAAAATTAACTTGTTAATAATAATTGTTAGTAATAAATCAGTGTTAATTAGTATTTATAAATTATAATATAAATTCTATAAATGACTTGACATTGATCAAAGGCCTCAGAAGGTGTCAAATAATCAAGTGTGTGTATATATATAATCTTTTTAAGGATGTGTTTATATTTCACTTCATCAAAGAATGAGATGAAATCATTAATACTAATAATTTGATAAACACAAAAAAATAAAAGCAATGATTTAGATAAGATGAAAAAAAAAATTTGAATAATTCTTACTCAGAAAAGTTAAATATAGACACCCCCAAAAACAGTTCTGAATTCACTTTAAAATAAGTCTTAAGATAAACCTGTAATTTATTAAGTACATGACTGTTTTTGATACTATTGTCCAGATTTTGTTTTTCATTAAATACTTCAGATTTTTATAATTAAGAAAAACATTTTCTTTTATTAAAAGAAAAAAAAATATATGTTCTTATCATGACTATTTTTTCCAATCATCTTTTTCTCAATTAGAAAAATTATTTCTCTCAATTTTATTGTTCAGCACATCCTTCTCCCTCTGGATAATTATGCTGCTATGGTTATATTTATTTAGATAAATATAATTCAGTATGAAAATAGAAAATAAGTTTCATTACATAGATTTGTCAGTAATATCAGTTCATAAATATATTTATAGAGTGTAATAAAGAAAAGAAAGTTGTAGTTTGATAAAAAAAACAAAAAAAAAAACAAAACAAACTATTCCATGTAATCCTACCTGACTCCAAGTCAGAGTATCTTGTGTTACTTTACAGATCTAATCTGTAGTCTAACAGGCATGTGGCCTAGCTACTATTTATATTTGGTGATACTTATAGTGATGTGATCCTGTCACTGAGGGTGCAGACAATCTCCTTATTTCTTATCTTTCCTTCTCCTCTCTACATTTACTGAGTTGATATGTTCCAGCTATATCAACTCACTTCTGATTTTAATCTTATCTGATTTAAAGATGTATCTTGTCATAAATTAACATTGCTTTTCTATTTACTAAAATCACAATGATATTTTCTTCCATTTTCTCCCTCTTATTGAATTATTTGAACTTTGATTATTTACAGACGAAAACAAGATGATGTTGAATTAGAGAAACTGTTGGGGGATTTGCATCGGAAGAAGCAGATTGAAGAGGAAAAAAGATTGGTGAGATGTTTGTTTACTAAGCTATAAAAAAAATAGTGGATATTAAGTTCATATTGTTCAATGGATTAATATTTTGTTAATTACACATTGATATCATGTTTTTTTATATTTTTCTAGTCATTTTTCTTTATCCTATATAAAAAATATATATAATTTAATATATTCTACGTGTTTCATATGATTTAGCCATCAGATTGTCACTGTTAAAGACATTTTCTGTTCTTATTTAAGCTTTACTGGTGGTCTCTTTCTCTCAAAAATTTCCAGTTTGATTTCTTATAAATGCCAAAAGCAAGCAGATAAAAAGTTTGATTCTCAGCAATTAAATTCCAGAAAGATAATGCCTCCGCCACAGAAATTTACCTATTCCAGTTTTCCATGAGGTTTATAAATAAGCCACTCATTTTATTTTTAAATATTTTTTTATTCTTAAATTTCTCAGTGCTTTCATCCCTTTTTTTCATAAGTTGAGATAAAACCACTTTTGTTTTTTAGCTTTTTTCTGCAATATATCTCCTTTCTTAATAACCATTTTTCTCCTCAAACTTATCCTTCAAAAATAGCCACTAACATCTGTGTTCTTATCATCAGTAACAAATCTTTTAATGTTTTTTTTCTTTAATTTGCTAATTCATTTAAAACCCATATAATACGTATATTTCCAAAATTTACTTTTGAGCCTTTAAAAATACTGAATTTATTTTCCCAGCTCCTGACAATAAATTCAAAAAACAACTATTCTAGCAGCATTTATCTTGAAGTCAATTGTATTTCTAATTATGTAACAGTTTGGCCTTTTCTTTTCTGTTTTTTTTCTTCTTTTTTTTCTTTTCTTTTTTTTTCTTTTTTTTTTTTTTTTTTTTTTTTTTTTTTTTTTTTTTTTTTTTTTTTTTTTTTTTTTTTTTTTTTTTTTTTTTCTTTTTTTTTTTTTTTTTTTTTTTTTTCAGAGCTAAGCTTTAGTACTAGCAAGAATCACACTTAAAAAAAAAAAAAAATAAGTTAATGCTATTGTGAATAGTATTTCAAATACTTTGAAGTTTTCATAGTATTTTTTTCCCTTCTTTCACTAGGAAGCTGAAAAGAAAGCCCAGGAGAATGAGAAACGTCGACGTAAACTTGAGATGATGCGGCAAGCATTATCTGATGATAAATCACCTGTGAAAAGTGATGGAGAATTATTCTTTGTTGATCCAGATAATCCAGATAGCAACAGTAGCTTTGATTCTCAATCCACAGTCCCTAATAGTGAAAAAAGTGACAAAGTTAATTCTTCATTGTCCACAAGCAGCAACCCCAGTAACTCTCTTTTATCTTCTCCTCTTGCACCTTCTCAAGCATCTGCTCCTATGACAGACTTGACTATGATAGTAACTACACCAGTTAATCCTCAAGAACAAAGCTGTGATAAGCCTACAGAAAATCTAGAGGGCTGTTTGCTTCAAGAACAAAATGAACCAGATATTGTAAAAAGTGCAAAACCTCGTAACCTGACCCCTCCCAGTACATTGGACACTAAACATCAGCAACTTGAACTTCCTACTGTGTTGGACCCTCCAGTTGCTCCACCTAGAAGAAAGAAAAAACCAAAGGAAATTGTTGTTAGTAATGTATGTTATCTATTTTACTCACTTTTTTCCTCTGTCAGAATAGACATTTTCTTATCTAGATAAGTGTTTGTTTATAAACATTTTATTGTATTCATGCATTGTGGTTGTTAAAAACCCACATTTAATAAGATTGGACAACATAAAAAAAAATACTTGACAAAGAGCAACAAAAAAAAAATTGGCCTTTGATTTTTTTTTTTTTTTTTCCACCCAGAAAGCTAAATTACTTACCTCTTCCATCTAATTTGAAAGATAATTATTTAAAGTCAAGAGTTGCATCACAAAATGCTTGGAAGTTTTTTACACTACTTTCTCCTCTTTTGAAAATTTATATTTGGCCTCCTTAAGCGTGTTTTTTTTTTTTGGGGGGGGGGGTTAATCCCTACAAAAAGTGTTGACAAAAGACAGTATTCATGATATAAAGAAAATAATATTTCTTATTATGCTCTTTAATATCTTCATAAGATTAATGGATTAAAATGTTTAAATTTTGTACTTTTAAAAAATTAACCCACTCATCTGAAAAAAAACAAAAAAAACAACTACTTTATTGTAAAGCAAATTATGTAGAAACTTGGAGAGCCTGAAAATAGAATTATTTCCCAGCAATTTTGTTATGGTGGTTTTATTCATGATTTGAAAAAATATAAAAATTCAGCCTGGCTATTTTAATATCCAGCAAGACTGATATTAAAATAGCCAGGCTGAATTTTTATATTTAAAGACCATAGTTGGAGGAATGACTTACTGTTATCATAACAGATAGAATAAAATTGGTTAGTATCTATTAAGATCAACAATTCTCCAAGAGTTTATGTTCACTATGCTCTAATGCTCTTGATAAAGGTATTAATTGATCTTTTCTCCCCTCTCAGCTATCAGTAAAACAACATAGTAAACTGAACTCCCTAGCTTTGGTTTGCAACTAGTCTACAACTCTGTAACCAACACTGGATAAAGCAACAAAAAACAACATTGCTTTTTCTCCAAGAACATTATAATGTACAGTTCAGATATTAAAAAAGTAACTGGATCATTTCATCTCAAATCAACCAATGGCCACAGGTGATGCTATCAGAAAAATCTGGGAAAATTCACAAGTGTTCCTTAATCAAATTTATTGATAAATTCCAAATATTAGATCTGAATCTTTTAATAGTTTTAAAATCAGAGCATCTTGAAGTTTCACTGTATTTTTTTACATTTTGCTCAATAAGGCTTTCTATGAACTTCTGATATTCATAGCTCTCTGGATATTGTTTGTACAGATTTGAAACTTGGTGACAGTGGTTAATGTTTACTGTAGATTGGAAAAATAAAAACTAGCTCATGTGTGTCTTATGTACTTCTATTTTTATTTTTTATGACCCGAAAATGGCCAAAATGCAAAAGGACTCTGTCCACTTTCAGAGCTTCTCATTTACAAAGTACATCAAATAGAGCATTCAAATTAGTTTTGTCATTTATGACCTGATAGATTATTTCTATGCAGTAACCATATTCATTCCTGTTATAGGAATGTCTGTATTAGATTAAAAATTGTTCAATTTTTAACATCCTTAAAATTGCCTATTTTCATGACATCAGCAGACCAGTTAGTTTAAGAAAAGTTTTATATTTTTACCACATATTCATATGTCTTAAGATTTTGTGACAAGTTTCATTTTGTAAACAAGCTTCTATCTAGGGTTAAAACATTTTTCTAGAACAGTTTGTCATACCAAAATCATGATTTTTGTCACCTTAGTTGATAGTTAAAATATAAAGCTGAAAATTTGTACCCCTATAAACTTTTTGGCTTCATTTTAACATTGTACTAAATAGTTTAGATGCTATGGGCTCTTAAAAATGTTATTTTGGGTGGGGGTGTCTACAAAATTTTTAACTTAATAAAGAAACTAAACCAAAGACATTAAAATTAGGATTCCACTAGATTATTTTAATTTTAAATAGATCAAGTGGAAATGCATCACAAAGTATCTTAAACAGGGATTAGCTAGCAGCATTATCAGTGGACATACTCAGGAATAAAATACTTCCACATACACTCAATTAAGTAACCTGTGATGATCTAATTTGCTCTCACAACTATATTACTTTTCAATTACTCTTTGCTCAAATCTTTTTTTTATTATTTGTGGAACTAACACATTATTTCAAAGTAACTTGCAATAATATTGCTTAGTTTTAAGATTCATTCAACTGGCATACCTATTTAGCCATATATAACAGCATTGATATACTTTTAGTAATTTCCTTTTTTATGATTATTAATTAATTTGCTTTTGAAAGCTAATGACTAAGGCCACTTTTATCATTTACAGGAAGATCTCAGCATTTATTATCCTGCCACTGCTAGTCCTGGCTTACCTGCTGAACTGTTGACACCAGTCTCAACTGTGGAAAGTTTGACCAAAGAACTTGAACATTCCCTTGACCTTCAAAGTGCCTTAGAAGGAAGTAGAATCATTAATGCTGAGGTCAATATTGTTGTTTTCTATGTTCATATCAAGCATGTATATTGTCATTGCATATCTACATCTCTTCAGCTATTGTAGTTTAAATTAATTTTAAATTAAAGGCATTCAATAAAAGCATTATATGACTGATATTACAATTATCTATGTTAGTTTTATTTCTAAATGCACACACACCTTTCCATCAATTTTCTTAACTAAAAAAAAAAGTTTCTATCCAGAAATTTACTTCAAGGTAATTTATTCATCATAGCTCTTTGAGATATATTACATGGGGTTATTTATTTTTCTTAAGATATATCAGTAAAGCTGTGTCGGGTCATGTTAAGATGAGATTATCATTAAATCAATGTATTGAAAACATTACAAAATATAATTAACATCCTGGATATATATGGTTTGTAAAATCTAACATGTCATTATTTGTCTTTATTCATATATTTGAAGCTATAAGGATCAAATCTAGAACAGTTAAGATTTGAAACAGTGAAAATGTTTTTCTTTTATGAGATTTTCATGGTTTTGATGTATTCATCAATAGGCTTCACTCAATAGAATCAAGTTTTAATTTTAGGTTACAGGATATTTTTAGTTTAATACTATTGTATTTTGTTGTTCTATAACATGTGATCAGTAGTCAACTTCTGCCTGTCTCTTATTTTACATTTTATATCTTTTCTACTTAACATATATAAATAGGTACAATCCTATTTACCAATCCACTACACTTCCCTGAACTGAAGAGGTTTAATGCCTTTGGTTGTTCTTGAATTCTACAACTGCTTTCCTCCTCTCCCCTTTGAGGTTTATATCCTGTTCTTTTTAACAGAAATCTTTGTCTCATTTCATCTTCTTCCATGTCTGAATCGCTCCCACTATCATCCATGGGCTCATCTTCTATTGCATTATCCTGATCTGAAGAATTCATCCTTTCTTCTCTGTCAAGATCTATCGCATCTTCCTATTCGATTCTGGGTGTTAATTGGTCAGAATGGACCATTAGACTTTTTTCTTTTCTTTTGATATAATGGCCCTGTTATGTCCCCTTTGCATCATGAAATTAGCTCTCTCAGGACTTACTACTTTGTGTTTCTTATACCATGTCTTTTTATTTGTCAAGTAAGACATTGTTAATGACGATCTTATTTGTCTTCCCATTAACACAAGCTATGTAATTTGTCTGCATGTGGAATCTTCCTATAACAAAGCAGTAACCTTGGTAAATAACCATCTATAGTATCTACTTGGGGGAAAATGCTTTTAATCCCATTTTTACTGTCTGTACCCTTTTTTTACACAATCCCATCAGGTTATGGGTGTTACTGTGGTGTTTTGTAAGAGAAGCAGCCAATCTGCCTCAACCAAACACATAGATCTTCATCACAAAATTCTGGTACATTGTCTGATACCAGTGTTTTAGGGTTCCCATTTCTAGAAAATACCACTCTTAGTATTTGTTTTATTGTAGTCATTTTTCTATATTTAACAATTTCAGGCTATCCTGAAAAGGAATCTACTAGAAATAGTCCCATGTCATTAATGTGTGAGCCATATGAACATGAGACCTTGATTCTGATTCTTTAGGCCTTTGTCAAAATTTTTTTATTTCTGCACCTTTTGGGCTTTTGTGTACATAACTTCCTATATCGTGATAATACCCTAGCCATTATGCCTCCAATTTTAATCTCCTCTGCATAGCCATTATCCCGCAATGCACATTATCATGTACACTTTTTAAAATATCTCTTCTTACTGTTTCTGGTGGTACTATCACATCTCCATTGCATATAACAGTTTTCTGTCGTTAATTTATGCCTTATTTCTTTATAATGTTTTGTAACTTTGGAACAATTACTTCACCAGTTTCTTCTTTCAGCAATCTTACTTAATCATGTAGAGTTTCTGATACCAATCTTTATAGAGATAATGTCAGTTTCAACCCAATGTAATATTTATACATCCAGGATTTCCATTTTTTCTTTTTGATCCTTAATAAATTTTGACCTTGACAGCTAATTGACATGTAGTATTGTATTTTCTTTTACATACTCAGTGACAATCACAAGCCATTAATTTTATGGCCCATCTTAGAATCCTGGAAGAAGTAACTTTTGTTAGCTTTTACAAATAAAATAAAATAAACTCTAGAGGTTTATGGTCAGACTTTAATAGGAACTTCTTACTTAATAAGAATTGTTGAGATCTGTCTGTGCTTTAGACGATGGTCAATGCCTCTTTTTCAATTGTGACCGTTCCAATATTTTATATTTATGATATTTATCAACCATGACATCAATCAACTGTAATTGAATCAATTCATCCTTAATAGTCAAATCTTGTTTCTGCTATGACAAGTTTCTTTTTAGGTGATAAACTTTTTATAATTTCTGAAATTTTGACAAGTCTAATTTTCCAATTGTTTGGGGTATGCCATAACAGAAATTTTCATTGTAGCTTCACAACCTGCAGAAGCTAAAAAGAGGTCAGTTATTTCATTTTCTCCCCCTCTTGCCAGGTTGTCTTTCTATTTTTTAGTGCTAGCCTCGGCTGCAAAAGCACCAGATCCAAGTCTCAACAAATTCTGGTTCATCTAAGCAACTTAAACATTCTACCACAACACCATATTGTTGTATCATGTTGTTTTACAACACGTGATCAGTAATTGACTTCCACCTGTCTCTTACTTTACTATACACTTTATCTTTTCTACTTAATATATGCAAATCGATACAATCCTATTTACCAATCCACTAAAACTATCAATCATGAATTTATTTTGAAATTAAAGGCTATTTTCTAAACACCAAAACCACTTTCTCAATGTAAAAGATTGTAATACTTTTAATTTTATAAATTCAAGTAGATATTTGTATCTAAAAACAGTAACTAGAACTTTGATAAGTATTATTTATTATGGTACAGATTTTTGTTTCTTAACCTTGTAAAATTTGTTACTGATAAAACTGGTAAAGTAATTTAATACTGATATATTCTGTATGTTGTCTTTTAGGAAGCTGAAGCAGGAGCTGTGAATTCTGACCAAGATTCAGTGTCTCCTATCTTGGAACAAGATGTGATGACTCTAACAGAGAGTAGTAACACATTAGGCAATGACAAATGTTCAGTGAGCTCATTACAAGCTGAAGATCCCATAAAAGACAGCAGCAATCCATCTGGCGATGATAGTCCAATGGTTCGACCACGTTCCAATTCTGGCCGCTCTCTTACTGACCAGGTTTGTAATTGCTCATCCACACCCCAGTATTCCCAGTAACTGATTTAAAATCTTTTGACTCTTGCAATTGCCAAAGGTATGTACTCTGCCTTACAAGTGGAAAATATGACAGTTTGCTGTCTTCTTATTTTTATAGAATATCTGTAATATACCTGATGATAGTCAAAAGCACTAACCAGTAATACTAACAGTATTCACAATTTACCCCCACCAAGTCTGAGTCATAGAAACCAATTAAATTTAGGGGCCCAGCTGACTTTTTGTAAATAAATCAAATTTATCTGGTGAACAATAAAATCATATTGGGCAGGTAACTGCATTAATGTTTTGAATTGAGGTAAATGCAGAGGCCATGAGTGGAAAAGGTTAAATACAAGAGGGACATAGGAATATGTCTTTTTGTGATAAAATAAGCTTTGTACTTTTACCATTTTTGTTGGATTCAATTGCATAAATTTAACATACCTTCCACTCACCCAATTGCTATCATATGTACTGGTTGTGGCAATTACTACAGGTGATATAGTAAATTCCTCCAAGTTTTAGCTTATTATTTTCATTTGTTTGAGCTAATATAAAATTTGGGAGAAACCTTGCTTGTTTAAAACTTCCAGATGATACTAAATTCAACATCAAAAGTAGACAAATAAGATAATAGTATAATTTCAGTGAAATTTATATCACTAAAGTTAAGACTCACATGAAGCTTTAGGCTATTGTAATAGGATATAATGAAATTAGAAAATGTTATGTAAAGCATGAAAATTAGTTCTAAGTGCAGGATGATACAGTACCAATATCAAAAACCAAAACAAAATCAAGACTAGAATTGCAATCTGAACAATATAATAGATCCTGTTGCTAAAGATAGCTATAGATATACTGTAAATTTTGTATTAAATTCTAGTCTAATAGTGACTGATTTATTTTATAATAAATATTTAGCAGAGATTGCATCCTTTGGATTCGTAAAACATTTAAGTGACAATGGGACAGAATTTATGAGCAGAGAATCAGTAACAATATAAAGCATGAAAGAACTGGTCCCTATTTATCACATCAAAATGGCTGAGTTAGAAGATTAGCAGACACTTTTTGAAATGGCAAGATGTCTTTATAAAATGAAAATTACCAAAGATATAGGTGTACACAATTTGCAATAGATGTTACAATCTGAGAGAGAGGAAAAAAAAACAAAATGGAAAGATTGATGTTAGAGGCCCATAATATCTTGTGTATTTTGTTAACTGAGATCAAATCAGAAAGGTAAAGTGTGTGAAGTTCACTAATTACTTTGTAAATGTGAAATGGAGATAGTGAACTGTTAAATCCACTATTAACTACCTTAATTGAACATGTTGGGGGTGGTGTTAACTAAAATGTGATTCAATGAAGTTCCATGCCTGCCTGTGGAATCTACTGCTTTCCGAATGTATTGAAACTCCTCCATCTGACCCAGAGTTTAGTGAAGAGGGAGAAAGTAATCAGGGAACATAACAAATATCTTACTCGTGTTCAAACTCAAGAAACAAGATAGAGAGAGCTGTAAAAATGGTAGTCAGAATTCCAGATATGAACATACAAAGGAAAATAGTCAATACATAAAGAGTGACTAATGTCAACCAAATTTCAAAGTGTCCGAGAAATGTCTCGGATAATGGGTGTCAGCATTTCAGCAATATTGGGTCATGTCAAGAAAATTGGCAAGATCATGGCAGAAGACCTAAGTAGCTCCATTTTTATAGCACTGCCTAAGAGCCAAGCACAAACAAATGTGTACTCCATTAATCAGCTTAATGAGCCATATAACAAAACATATAAAAATTCTGATGAATAGAACATGCAGCAGAATTAAACCAGAAATAGAACAAGAGCAGTGTGGGTTTGTTAAAGACACTGGAACAAGGAATGCGATATACATGCTCAGAAAGAGCAATACAAATGCCGAAAGATGTGTACATGTTTTATAGATTGTGCAAAAGCTTTTGATAAAGTATGCCACAAAGAACTGTTGGAACTGTGAGATAACCTTGACATATTTGGGAATGATATTAGAATAATCCGGAACTTATACTGGCAGCAAACCACCTGCATACCAATATAAAATATGTTCAGTAAATATAAAAAAATAGAAAGTGGTGTAAGACAAGGATATGTCTTCTCACCAGACTTATTTAACCAATACAGTGAGGCAATTTTGAATGAATTAGAACTCCTACCAGGATTCATTTTTGGCAGCCACAATCTTAACAGCATAAGATATACAGATGACACAGTGTTATTAGCAGACACAGAAAGGAAATTACAAGAACTCCTACAGAATGTTGCAAAGGAAAGCGAGAGGAAAAGGCTAAATATCAATTGCAAGAAGATAGAATGCATGGTTGTTAACAAAAGGAATAGCCCAACATGCTAATTACATATTAGAAATACCAAAATCAAACAAGTATAATAATTTAAATATTTGGAAAGTACTTTAACAGAGAGCAGAAAGTGCAACATTAAAATCCAAAGGTCCATTGAGATAGCTTTTTGAAGGTATATTTTGCTAAGCAAAGTATTAAGAAATAGAAAAATTTCATGAGAAACAAAGAAAAGAGTACTGAACTATTATGTAATATCACTCCTCCTGTATAGCAATGAATGCTGCACAGTCTCCTCACAGATGAAAAAAAGTTACAATATATATATATATATATACAAAACATCTTTTTCATCTGTCCAAATAATATAAAAGGCAAAATTTCATTAATTACTCTTTTAAAGTATAGTTATAAAACAAACACCACACTCACCCAACCCTCTCATACAGGAAGAAAATCAACCAATGAATAAACTGCCAACAGCCAAATATGATAAAAATAAAAACTTGAAAAATTATTTAGAATCAATCATCAGTCAAACTATCTAATAATATAATGTGTATTTATAGATTTCCTGTCCCATCTGTAGAGGTAAATCAACTTAAGTTAGTAAATTTATGAGTGATTCCTTCTCTTAGTCATTTTAATAATCTATACAAATAAAATATTTATCTGCATATTGACAAAATTGGTTCCTCAGCAAACCATTTAAGTAATCAATTCATTTACACCTACATTTCTTAGGCTGCAGTCTTATTTGTTCAAGTTTTTCATGTGAGGAACTCAAATAACTTTGTCTGTTAGGTGATCATCTTGTTTCTACTTGGTTAGGAAATAGGCTTTGATGTCACTGTATTTGTTGCTAATCTTTTTCTTTCAAGAGATATTTCCATTTCACTGTCATATTAAGCACATAAAATTTTAACATGAAAAGATATTGAGCAAAAAGCAATTTATATAATACTAAGAGTAAGCAAAGAATCATAGATACCACTGAATGTCTTAAAAAAAATGGATTAATTAAATGGTTCATTGGCCTCGATTTTAGTTGTGAATTCTTTATCTCAGTCTTATTGAATTTCAGTACATTGTTTCAAGACTTTTGTTTCATTGTATCTCACTATTAAAATTTTCTAACAATTGCCATCACAAATGACAGCAAAGGTACTCTAGTTATTATATAAACTTCCAGCCATGAGTGACCTCCCCCAGCTGGTAGTTGAAATAGGGAAAATTAATTAAATGTTTGCCATGTTAGTGTGTAGGGATTGTTTCAACTCTTCAGCTCACACTCAGAGCACTTAATGTTTCTATGTCATTCAAAAATTTTATATAAAGTTTGGTTAGATATTGATTTTATTTATATTTTTAAAATTTTATTTATAATAGTTTCAAGCAAACACAACAGTGTAAAAATAAGTTGACATATTAGTTTTAAAACACATTTTGTCAGAGATTACATTTTCAAATGTACTTACATAACATGTTTATAGGTTTGTGGAGATACCATTATTAAATGTGATAATACTACCCAGCAAGTCTATAAAGTTAATTTTGAGGAAACATTATTGAGATACCTGCTGATTGACAAAAATTGGTTAAATAAAATTTGGTACCACCACTAATTTTCGATACCGTGGTTTAAAATCAATTTTTATAAATGAAAAGGCTAAAGGATTAAATTTACTATTTCCAGTAAGCAAAATACTGTAGTGTATTTCAAACAGAAATGATTTGGATTAGAATCAAATTTTTTTTTTTTCTAAAATAGCTGATTTTTTTAATAATCTTTCATCACAATGTAATTCCCTGTATTAAAGAATCTTCCAAAAATAAAATATACTTTCTTTTCTGAAACTTTATTTGAGGAATATTAGCTGATTTAAAGTATAATTAATATGATTTGAAAAAAAAAATTATTTACTTTAAGTTTAAAACAAGAGAGAAATGGATTTTTAAAACAATAGTGGTGATAATTAACAGATGTAATTATCAAGTGGTTTCAAGTGCTTATAAAGTGTTGATGGTTTTATTGTTGTTCTACAGAGACTTTATCTGTTGAAATATAATTTAAGAAAATGAGAGGTGAGCCCCTTTTTTATGTAAAATTTTTAAAAATGAAAACAAATCTTGTAAAAACTAATTACTCATCAAAAAAAAATTTTTCTTAAGAAAAGTATCCTTAATAAAACTTATTTATAAAAGCAATTAAAAGCTTTTTTAATTAAATAATGTCATAGTTTTATTGCATTTTTTTATTTTATGATTCAGAGCAGATTTTGGGGAAAAAAATTGATTTACATTCTCCAAGGAGTCCTGCTTTTAAATTATAAAAAATAAAAATTTTGGTATGAAAATTAAATTTCTTGAAATTAAGTGGGGGATAACATATGTAAAAAAAAAAACAAAAAAACTTTCATTTGTGAATAAGAACTGAAACTTTCATTAAAATCCAAGAATTATTTGATTTTTGCAAGAATTTCTAAATCAATGTGTTCTTCACCTGAAAAAGGCAATAAAACACTAATTGTAAATATTACATTGACTGCTAATACAAAAAAAAAAAAAAAGATTTTTACCAAAATTTCAAACATGCTAGAAAAGATTAAAAAATTTAATAGAAAAAAAAATACTTTGGTCTTCCCTCTTAAGAACATAAACATTTTGACAAAACTTTTTTTATTAATTTTGGGGCCTTTTTTCATCATTCTATGCTGTTTTTCAGCAAAAAAAGTGGAGGTACCTACATAAAATCAAAAGCTTTAAAATTAAATTTTAAAAAAATTGTTTTGTATTAACTGATAAATGATACAAGCCATGTTTTCCTTTTTGGAAAAAAAAAAATAAGTAAAAGAATCTATTATAACAAATGTTTTATTTTTTAATCATTGACATGAAATTAATTTGTTTAAAGATGGTATTTCCTAATGTTAAATGTTTTTCTTTCAGGAAATCTTAGAATCGGTGTTTATTACCAACCTTGACACAGGCCAGAAAGTACCACTGAGTGTTGCTGAAGATGAATTACCTCGCTGTATGAACCCTTTGGATTTACACATTATTCGCAGAACACATGAATATCTTGGGTAATTGAATCCTTAATATTTTTATAAAGAACATTTTCAAGTTAACAAATTTTACTTTTGAAAAAGTATATATTTAATAGTTTATATTCATTAAAATCTAATAAAATTTATTGTACATGTAATTAATTTATGCCTGAATAATTGTTAGTTGAGCGCTCTGCTGACTTTATTTAAAATTATCAAATCTTTTTTAAAAAAAATCAAATTTTATAAATTTAAAAATTCTACAGCATTACTAAAATTTTAGTTTTTGAAATCAAAACAATAGGACAAGTGACTTAAACTTACTTTATATTATTATAATTTGTGTAATTTATTTACATATTATTAATACAAATTTTTATAATTTGAATAATATAAATTTAAGACTGTTCAGAACTTGCTGATTTCATTAAAAGGCCTGATGCATTTTGGTGATGGGCTGGATTTTGCTTTCCCATTTTTATTTTTGCCTATATTATGCTGCCTTATTGCTGAAATTGTTCTGAATATAAGCAATACATCGCTTTTACTGTAGCAAAATGGAGGACAGAAGCAATAATGTTATGTTACAGTATTTATAACTAATATTACTAAAGAATGTTTTTACAAATGTAGTTAGAACTAATTGTTAATATGAAAACTGCATGTGCATTTTTAATTGATATTTGATCTTCAAACTGTCAAAATTTAATTTTTTTTTTTTCCAAATTAACCCTAGTTTGTTTTGTTTCTAGTTATTAGTTTTTCAATCTTAGGATTTGCAAAAAATTAATGCTTATGAATAAAAATTAGATACCATTTATATTTTTGTTTCGATAAATGCATATACCATAGTATATGACCAAGAATATTATCTAATTTATAACTACCATAGTATTACTAAGAAAATTGTTTAATTTATAATTCAGTAATTTGATTTTTATATTACTAATTTTAATAATTTTTAAAATCTTTGTTAAAACTATAGAAAAAAAAATTGACAATTTCTGGATGAAATCTGTTTTACCCATCTTGTTACTTGGAAAAAACTTTCGCTGAATATTTTATTCATAAAAATAAGTACATTTTCTGTAAAACTATTTAACAATGATATTGCATTAAAAATTTTGTATATTTTCCTAAATTCATAATTGTAACACTACAGCAGTACCAATTGTAGCTCCATTCCTTGAACCCTTTCCCTATGCCATATCTCCCACTCCCATGGAAATCTCTTATTATTGCTGCCTTCTATGCCATGCATGTTGTATATTTGTACACTAGTTTTTTCTGCCATGGCTTTTAATTTCTGTCTGAGCATGAAAGCTTTGGGGGGGAAAAAGAAAAAAGTTAAGTTCTTTCTTGTTCACTAAAATAACCCATTCCCTTAATATGCTCTACAATATTTTACATTTTTTTTTACACCAAAAATGACAAAAGTCTTAACACTCCTTAATGTATTCCCTTATATAAATTTTAGTTTTTGTAAGAATCATTTTAAACATTTGTTTAACTAGTTTTAAAGCTCGATGACTATTTTATCTACCATATTCTTGAGAACACATTTTTTTCATTCTATGAAAGAAAGTATTTCTTATATGCCCTCTTCTTTCTGTTTTTTAATTATCAGTTTGGCTGATTTATTTCTACATGATTGTTTTTATCAGCATATTTTAAGAATCAGTCTATTTTACATATAGGAGTTTCCTAATTACAATTTTATAGATTCCTCTTATTACTTACCTTATCACACAAATATTCTTTAACACTTGGGGACTATTTTGTATAAGTGCCTAAACTTCTTTCTTTTTTTCTTTTTTTTTCTTTACTCCACTAAAAGACCAGAAATTCTAATAGATATTTTATGAGTTGTATGGCTGTTATGTGAGAATGGCTTCTCAAGTGATTCTGTGTGCAAATAATTTGTTAGTGTAATTTATTTCTCCACTCCTTCAGTGAAGGGGATCTTCATAAGGCAGGACAGTCAGATGAAGACGAGAGTAAATCAGAAACCGTCCGACACTCATCTGACCAACAAGGGACCAGGAGCAAGGCGTAAGTACCTAGAGATTTCGCTGATGATTTCAAACATGGAACAGTTTAGACAATTAAGACTTGCTTCTCAGCTAGCTGGATATTTTTTCCTCTCTCTCTCTAATATCTACTACTAATAACAATTCTCACCAGCCATTGTTATTTGGAAAGAAAAGTTTGATTTAATGAAACAAATATTTCTGAATATTTTTACAAAGGCTATATCAATTTTAAAATTTAAAACCCTTTTCAGAGACGAAAATACATTTTTTTGCTCTTGTTTATTCATTTATAACTTTTTTTTAATATTTCTAATTTCTTTCTTTCTTAATGCAATGACTGGTTATTTTCTAATTCGGGGATTTGGAAATCTTTATTTGTTTCATGTTTTCTGAGGAAATGTTAAATAGTGATCTGAAAAATATTTGGTCAGTTTTGAAAAACTTTCTTTTATCCTTTAACAACTATTTGTATTTTTTTCTTAGCAATATGATGAACATTGCTATGTGCTTTCATTTTGTAACACTGCCATAGAATATAGTGCTGACTGCTTTTCTTGGACAATTTTGCTCAATTTCTGCTTCTTCCATTGAAAAATCCCTGCTTGCTTCATTACCACATTCATAATTTGTACAAAGTTTACTATACTAGTAATTAATGGTCATTAACTTCTCTATGAAAATATAAACAAGAATAATTATTTATCAACATGTTTATATTAACACCACCTATATTAAGAAATCTTATTTTTATAATAAAATCTTTATTTTTTGTGGGGTACATCCTACTCATTTAAAGGATTAAAGCATATATGTATTTATATATAAACAATAAGCTTTTGAACATTATAGAAAAGTCTTACTTTTTTTACTTTTATTGGATAGATTAATTTCATATTGAGTAATTTTAAGTTATGTTTTTAAAATTCAGCATTTTATTGAACTTTGTTTCTTTTTAATTCCATGGTGGTTATATTTTGATCAATGTATATTTCACTTATTTTTCATTAATAATTATTCTTTACTGAAAACTACAAATGACAAGGTTCTATTACTAGCATAACACTATCATGACTTCTACTTGAAGGAAAAAATCTAGACATTCTAAGATAGTTGCCAAATATAACAAATACCTGGGGATGGATGTAGTCATCCATGTTATTTTAAAGATTGCAAAAATCACTGTAATAGCTACAACACCTCAAAAATTTAGACATGGCATTAGTTTTTACAGTCAATGTTGGTTTATAAAATTTATGATTCTTAATAATTTTCCAGTCAGGTTTGTTATGTTCACTTACGGCAAATACTCTTGGGCAAGGTATGAATCCATCTCTTCTCTTGGCTATGGGTTAATTAGTATGACTTGTATCTCCTAGATATTCTTACAATCTAAAAAATATTTCTGGTTTTAAATAACCTGCAAAAGGTTGATAAGTCATAAAAAAAACAAATCAATGATTCTTAATAATTTTGCTGTTATATTAAAATTCTTTTTGTTGGTTTAAATAATACATTATTACTATTTTGATGTATAGACCTTTTCCTTGTATTATCTCTAGTGGTCTATGTTAAATTGCTAATTATGTTTTTGGTGCCAGGTATTTTCTATGAGACACACTGGATGGATATTGTATGTCTGTCTTGTTTTAGTTTGCTTATATTGGCTTATTCAAAATGCTACAGCTTAGCCTTGCCTAGCATGTAATAAATACATTAAATACATGTCATTTTTTTGTTTTCTCTTCAGAAAATCAAAACATTCTATTCACATTATATAATTTGTTTATTGATATGGATGAAACCTTTATCTTTCAAAACTCAAATGAGTTTGGGAGAAATTAGAATCAAGTATGTTTGTGTTCCACTATGGCTGTAACAACAGTTGTTTATTTGAAGAACTACATAAAGAACTAATTTTGTTATGTAAGATTTATAAATAGTTTAACTGCACGATGGAAATGGTACTCTTAGGGAAAAAAAAGTATGATAGGATTTAAAGAGTTTTTTTTGTTTTTTTGTTAATGGTGATTTCTGAAATAACCTTTTAGTAGACAATAACTGAACAGCTTACTTTTTCCTTTGTAAATAACTTCTTATAACACAGAAGGATAAAAATGTATACAATTTCAAAATTTTTTGTATCAGACAGTTTTTAATAATCCAAGTTGAACATATCTGTGAAGAACATGCTTTTAGATAAATTACATTTGATTAGTAGAAAAAAGTAATTTAATTTGTTAATATTTCACTGCTTATTCATATTGTCTTCAGAACAAATTTGTTGTTCAGAGTGTAAAAAGAAATTATTTCCATGTTTATAAAAGCAAGTCATTAGAAAAAATATTTTTAAACTGTTTTATTCAAATTGTTTCGGAATCATTCACTTTGATTTGATAGTCATTTGACCTTTTCCAGAAACTGAAATTAAACTATCTACATCACTATTTTCCTACTCTAAATTCTTTCTTTGGCCATCAGCATATCATGTATTTGTAGTTGATATAACATTTATTATTGTTAAGAAATCTCTAGTGACAGAGCAAAACTGTATCAGTACTGCTCTTAGATCATCTATCTGCTTCTATCCAGAAGTTCAAAACTATATAACTGATTAATCATTGTTGAATAATGATGTCATTAAGAGAAAAGATTTGGGATGTTAATACTCATACTCCCAGTGGCCAATTGTTAGGTTTGCTCAATTCAAGGTTTAATTTTACAGAATGTTCAACTGCATTTATAAAGATTGAAAGTTGCTTACAAAAAATCATTTTAATATGATAAAAATAGTAATATTGAGTTTTATTAAATTTTTTTCCACAAAAATAACTTTATATATAAACTCTATATTTCAATAAAATGAAAAAATCTGGAATGGAACTATCTTTTATAATAAATGTGAATGTCAGTGTGTCACACTTTTTCAACTTTACTCCTAGATGCCCAACATATCATACCATTTTGGAATCAGACCAACTCTGTGAGCATATTAAAAACATGACAGTCCAGATCCAAACCTACAATCCTAAAATTTTGGATTGGATCTCCAAGTTTTCATTACTGCAATTTTTTTCTGGTGATTTTTGCAACAGTTTTTTTTTTTTTTTTTTTTTTTTTTTTTGTATGATAACAAATTTTATAACTTGGAAATAAATTTGGGAAAAATCAAAATTAATTATGAAATCCAGCAAAAGTCCCCCATGAAATAAAAAAAAATAATTGTTTGTATGAAAAGTAAGGACCTACATACATCAAATTGTCTTTAAATTAAGTGGCAGCAGAAAAATTATCATTGAACTTTTAAAAAGTAATTATTCTGGGTGCTGTCCAGAATAAGGCAGTCTTAATCCAACATACAACACAATGATTAAGCAAGGCATTTAAACATAGGAATTTAAAATGAACAAGTATTTGTTCATCAACAAATAAAATTTATTTCGTATTTTATGCATCATGTGATAAATATAATAAAACCCTTGAAAAGAAGGGTAAGTTCACATATGCACATTTAAAAGGGAAAAGATAACATGCACAGTTATAGGTGTGTTTAATAAAAACCCATGAAAATGGAAAAATAGAAAGACACATGTTGAGGTGTGTTAATTAAAACCATGGAAAAGTTCCAAGACAAAACACATATTGAGGTGTGTTTAATAAAACCCCTGGAAAGGAGGAAAGTTCATACCTTGGGTTTATTGTAGAATCTACATCAGAGAAGCGGTAAATGTCTCAGTGGATTAGTCAATCAGTTGAGTTGACTACATGTAATCCATTCATCAACTGCCTTTGTTTGTTGTATGGACTGGATTTGTAGCTTCCACCCCAAGAACGTGCTAGCTCACAAAAAAAGTCCCTTGAAAATACAAGGAAAACGCTGTCAGTGGTAAATTAATAATTTATATTATGTTTTCAATGCTACCAGAAGTGCCACTCAGAGCCTTATGTATAAATAACTGATTTGGTAATTCAACTCCTAACACTTGATATAAACTTCTGGTCGTATAAATTTCTATGTTATTAGCATGTACTATATTTAATTGATATCTTAGAATCTCTGTTCTTTCATCTTGTCCCGGGTTATCCACTGTCTCTTCCAAAATGTACAACAGTTGGGTCACATCATTTTCATTTAATATACTTTCTCTACAATAGATTGAGTTTACTATGTACTTGTTCCTCCACTCATTTCTGTATTTAGTGAATCCCCCTTCTCAATAACACTTTTGTAAAACTTCCCACTTTTTCAATATAATCTTTTTTAAAGTGTTATGTCCTATAATATATATATATATATATATATATATATACACACACACACATATACTAATGTAATTCTTCTTTTTTTTTTTTTTTTTCTTTGTTTTTTTTAGTAATATTCATTTTTTACCAATTTATTTTCCTCAAATAAATGTACTACTCCACTATCTTAGCATTTATAATGTCGGCATATTGCAATGGCCAGTTTTTAATTAGTACCTAATGATTTATTCTTAGAGCAAGCGCACACACACTTGTTACTTGCTGTTAAGTGCAACTCTGAGTTTCATGGAACCATCATATATAGGTGTATTGAGCACTGTTTTATTACCACCAACACTCACTGTGCAAGAGATAGAGATATATATATATATATATATATATATATATATATATATAAAAATTCTCTTTGGCCAGCTTCCAACAAGCAGGTCAGTTGGAAGACCATTCTTGCATTAAAAACTCAATCTGAAGCGATGCAGCATCAACTTTTCTTTCTGTGAAAGCAAAGCATCAGAATGAAGGAGGAGGCACATGTCATTTATACAAACGTTTGGGTGAGGCTGCCTTTAACATCAGGATCAAGTATGTACAAATATTAAAGAAAGTTGGCAGCATACTGCTTCTTTCAATGATAATCTTACCTGCCACTGTAGCTTTGTTGCTCACAGTAAAGCAGGCTTTGCTGTCCACTCATGGAAACATGTGACATTTGATTCTCAACTACATGTTCCATCTGTCTTAAAGATTACAAAACTCCAGTAGGACTTGGGAAATACATGCATGTCTCATTTGTCATCCACAACAAGAGTTCACTATATATATATCTCCAATATATTATTTCTGGTAAATAGGTACTTGTTAAATTTCTTTTCATTATGGTCATAATGTTTTAGCCGTTATAGCCTCTGTTGTCTACAACATTGAACCAAGCACATAAGTGTTGACACAGGCACATATCAACAAGACAATCTGTATTAGAATTAGAATAACAACTACTGTGCAAGAATAGCATCAGCTTCCACAAGCAGAGATACAAGGGTGGATGACAATAGTTAGAAAACTATCAATCTGTCTACCTCGCATTAGAGTTGTGTTAGAAAGGATTCAGATCTGCCATCCATACAACATAAGGACAGTATTTAAAGAGATACCTGGCCAAAGCTATGCCTCCATCAAATGAGAACACTCATGCAGTTATGGCAGAGAATATATATAGCATTTTAGGTGTTCTCTAAAGGTAAGATTGAAAGTTGTGGTCAATGGAGAGATTGTGAAGTTGAGTATGGCCGATCACATGTGGAGAGAAAAGGGAGCTCTCACCAATCCAAGTGAAGCAGTCAGAATAATAGAGCAACATTGGAGAATGAGACTATAAAGAATCAATGTGCATTCTTTGACTTTGATAACCCCTACAGTCTTGCATGGAATTTGACACTATATGGGAGCTTTTGATCAAGTAAGAACAGATATTAAATTTAAGGTTATAAAATTACACTGATTTCTCTACAGGACAGTGTTAGTTAAGCATTGCATGTCAACTTATGATCATGAATTTAATCCCTTAATTAGTGGAATATATATACTCTTTCAACAGAAGTAGCATGACAAAGAAGAATCTACCTATATCTCTAAGTGGAATGGGGACAGTTTGCTCATTTGTATTGAATAAAGAGTTCAGTTTGACATTTTGGGAATGTTACCAAATATATATAACATCCATCTAATGGCTGGAGGGTATAACATCCAATATATTGTAACTACAATCACCAAGATAAGGACAGCATTTCAAGTAAATTGGTGCTTAATAATTCCTTATCTTGAAAATTCAAACAGATAAAGATTTATAATAATAATTTTTTTTTTTTTTTTTTTTTTTTTTGGATGGCGGTCTATATATTATAACAAAAAAAGACTTCAATTACCATTATTATGTAATGTTTTTGACTTGCAAGAATTTTCCTCTTTTATTAATAAAATTTATATATTTCTTTTTCAATTTTGCTCAAATTGTACTTTAAAACTTTTCATATAGCCTTGCAAGATGATTATTTAGATAGTACACACACCTTATACTGATAACTGATCTTTGTCTTAAAAAAAATAAAAATTCCCTCAACTGAAAATATTGTGAATGTGCTGTTCAAACAAGTATCTTCAGTCAAGTTTACTAAAGAATTCTGAATATGAAGATTCAATTGTTTTTTTTTTTTTTCACATATATGCATGTTTGTTTGAGTATTTTGCTTTTTTTGATATTTATTTTTTCTTAAAGTATTTTATGACTGTAACAGTATCTTAAATGATAATTCATTATCTGATAACTATACATTTAAGTTTGTTTGTAAATGCATAATTATTTTTCTATTAATTAAAATGAATTTATACTCTGACTGCTTTACAATTTTTGTATAATCCACTTAGGAAATTTTATTACAAGTTAGCAAATTCTCTCATAAAATCACTTTCTTAGACTATACCAATATTTGTATATTTAAATCCAAGTAAATATAACTATTCTATACATAAGTATTTTCTAGTAGATTTACAGTCATTGATAAAGTAACCATAAATTACCTTGATTTTAGTAAATTTGGCTCTCAGAAGTGGAATCATTGATTTTGTTCCAGCACAAAGATCAAGAAATTCCTTGGTAAAACTGTTGGCAAGACAATGAGCCGAGTAAAGTCAGTAGCAGATCAAGGCAAGAAAGGTACATTCTTTCACTTACCTTCATTTTAAATTAATATAATATTTTAAGGTTAAATCTTTAAAATCATCACTGAAATTTCATTATTACTAAATAATGTAAATTATGAAAATAGTATTGTATTTTTATTTTATGGGTTGGCCAAAAAGATTGTTCTATGTATGTTAGATGGCATGAAGGGCATTTGGTTTTTGCTAACTTAATTGAAAAAGATCATTCTAAAAGACAACATTTATATGGTTTTTAAAGATACAATAAATGATCAAATGCATTAAAAGTAGTTTGAAGTTTCATTCTGGATATTTCTTGGTGAACAATGCAGTTGGGCTATGGTTAATGATCAAATAAAAACATGAGAATTGAGACATACAACATGGTATATAGTTAACATATGCAAATATCCAAATCAGATGTTGAAAATCCTTTGCATCAACTTATGTGTGACTTCCACATAAGTCAAGTGAAAATTCCCACAGGACAATATTTTCAAGAAACAGAACCAAACAATTGAGTCAAAAGTTACAGCTTGAAAGTTTTTCATTCATTGCTATATTTAGCAGAGATTGTACCTTTTCTTTTCTTTTTATGTGCCATGTCCCTTCATGACATAGGCAATCATGGCTCTCCACTTCCCCCTATCCCTTGTAGCTCTCAATAAGTTTCATCCGTCTGCCACTTCACCTAGACCATGTTCTGTCATCTACTTGCTTAAGCCCATTAGGCATGTCATCCATTGCTTTCCCTTGTCTCTCTTACCCTCTATTCAACCTGTGAGTATCAGATTCTCCAGACCCTCCTTTCTCATGTGTCCCAGAAATTTCAGCTGCTTCTTTCTGATGTTAAGTATAAACTTCCTCCTTGTCTGCATCCTCTCCAAAACCTTCTGTAGAACTATACCACCATCACCTCAAGTCTCTTCATCTTTGAGGACTGTCTAACATTCGCTGCCATAAAGGAGGACAGATGTCACGTAGCAGTTCAGTACTCTTTTCTTTGTTACCAATACTCTGCCCAGTTTTTGGAATGTGTCCTTGGCCATCCCATTACATCTTCGGATCTCGGCATCACGCTTACCTTCCTCCATCAAAACACTTCCCAGATATTTAAACTTCCACACCTGCTTGAATTTAGTGCTTCCGACCTGCAAATCGCATTTTGGGCTCATCCTTTTACTGATGACCATGCATTCTGTCTTCTTGTGGTTTATGTTTAGTCCCTTCTCCTCGCTCACCTTCACTACCTTCTGTAGGAGACTTTGTAATTTCTTTTCCATGTTTGCTATCAGTACTGTCATATGTGTATCTTATGTTAAGATTGTGGTCGCCAATGCCACCAATGCTGAATCACAGTAGGATTTCCATTCTCTCAGAATTACCTCTCTGTATAGTTTGAATAAGTCTGGTGAGAAGACACATCCTTGCATTATGTCCCTTTCTATTTTTGTATATCCACTGAACTCATTCTCTATGCGCATACATGCCATTTGCTGCCAGTATAGGTTCTTGAGTATTCTAATTCTCCTAATTATATCATGGTTGTTGAGCAGTTCTAACAGATCCTTGTGGCGTACTTTGTCGAACATCTTTGCGTAGTCTATAAAACATAGGTACGCGTCATTCTGCATTTGTATTGCTCTTTTTGATAACATTCTGAGCATGAATATCGTGTTCCTTGTTATGGTATCTTTAACAAACCTGCACTGTTCTTGTCCTATCTCTGGCCTGATTCTGCTGGGCACTCTATTCATCAGAATATGGATGATGAGTTTTGTTATGTGGCTCATTATGTTGATTGTTCGGTGGAGTTCACATTCGTTTGCACCTGGTCTCTTAGGCAGTGCTATGAAAATAGATCTGCTGAGATCTTCTAGTATATCCCCACTGTTGTAGATTTCATTTATTATTTCTGTGATCTTGTCAATCTAAGGCTGTGAGTATTTCCGTTACAATTCCGTCTGGTCCTGCCACCTTGTTTCTGTCCAATTTGGTTTTTAGAATTTAAGGTCCATCAGTAGTTCTTCAGATTTCCATTTATTCCACAATTTTCTTAATAAAAAAAAAAAAAAATCAATTTGTGGAAGACTGCAAAAGCATATAAAGCAGTTTTTGTATTGAGGAAAATAAAATTTTGGGTGAATGCAATTATAAATTTGATAGAAAATGGCAGAAAATAGTGGATGGAATATAAAGTTAATGTTGCAAAATAAATTATTTTTATTTAATAAATGGAACTTTTTGGCTACCTAATAGTTTCTTTATTCAATATTAATAGTGTTTTAGATAGTGCTGCATTTGTAAACCTGTTGAAGTGTATATAGGTAAAATAGAATCATTCTCATCAGATAATTTTAAAAAAAAATTGTTTTCAGATTAAACTAATGTGCAAAAAGCATTTCAAAGTTACTTTTCAATTCAGAATATAAAATAAGTTGAAAAGCAATGCATTCAGTTGTTTTTATTTTGTAAAATGAATTTTATTCTTAATAATTGTAGCTCTTCAAGGTGATGAAACTGGAATGGAAGAAGAGTATTTCATTGATGGCAAGATCTTTAAAGTAATTATTACTTGATAATTATTTCATCACTTTTTTCTTGATTGTGTATTCATCATGTGAAAAAAAATTAAGTAGATTATACCTATTTTTTTAATTTTAAAACTAAATCAAATGCAGCAAGTCACATGGCTCTAATATATATATCTTTAAGAAACAGCAGATATGTTTATATATATATATATATATATATATATATATATATATATATATATATATATATATATAGTGCCTAATATTAAAAATATTAAAATAATATTAAAAATAGTCCATTAATATTATATAAAAAGATTACTTGAAATATCAATTTTTTTGTTGTTTTCTTTGACTTTGAAGTTTTTTGGTAATGTCCGTTCTTTAGGGGTTTCTATTTTTTAAATGATATTTCCAATTTTTTCAATATATTCCACATCTTTTTCAATCCATTTTGTACATGTGTGCATTCATGAATTTAATGTTCTTTTACATGTACATGTTCATGAATTTTTGCTTTTGTTTAAGTCTTGTTACTTTAATAATAATATAACATAAAACAAATAAAATATAATTTAATTAATAATACAAATTAACAAATATTACAATTTAATTAATAATATAACATAACATAAAAACTTCAATATAAACCATGAAAACAAAAAATATAAATCTAATTTCAAAGAAAAATTTACAACTGAAAAATGAAGACATAAACAAAAGTAAAAATTCATGAATGCACATGTGTACAAAATGGATTGAAAAAGACGCGGAATAAATTGAAAAAATTGGAAATATCATTTAAAATAGAACTCCCTAAAGAACAGACATTATCAAGAAACTTTGAGGTTGGGCAAAAAGACATTAAAAAAATTGATATTTAAAGTTAAGAATAATATATTCATTCAACTATAAAATGTGTATCAAAGCCACCTATGTTGTAAAAGCCACCATGCTCAATATAAAAAGTACAAATACAGATTAAAAATATAAGAAATATATATAAAAATAAATAAATGACAAACTATAGCAGAACACATAAAATTCTTTATTTTTTATATATTACTTCTATATAAAGTAGTGACCAGTGAGTACTAGTAGTAAAATCAGAGTATCATAGAGCAATGAGGAACAAATGTATAATGATTTTTTTTTTTTTTTTTTTTTTTTTTTTTTATTATTACTACAATTAATCCTTTCTGTAGTTATTGGGCAAAATACACTGCTGGCTAAAAATATTAAGGGCAATGAAAATAAAGAAAAAATATACCTTTGCATTATTAAACGCATGTGATGACTTACCTTGGAGCTCAATGTGTGCAAACGTGTCTTGCTTGCATGATAAATCCGAGAGAAAACATGGCCGCTGTCAAAGACACGATTTATACGCACGCCAGTCTCATCCAAAAAAAACGAGATTAAAATTAGTACACATACAAATTTCAGCAGAGGTCGGACTAGCATAAAAAAAAGGCGCCAGTGGCACAGCAAAATCCAGTCATTTTTTAAGGACTTCAAACAGTCGGACATCATTTATAGACTGGCAGACCAAGAGGTGGTTGAAGTAGGAACGTCTGATTTGGGTGTCTGTTTCCACGACTGCCCGGTGTAATAAAAAAAGAGTCTCGCAATTCATTTCTTTGAGGCAACTGACGGCGATGAAGAACAGCTGGTTTGCCGGCGAACCCTCTCATCACTTTTTTGTTTTTTCTCTCTTCTTTTTTTCTACAACTCCACTACTTATTTTAGTAGAGCTTTGAAAAAGGAAATAAGAGGGGGGAAAAAAACTTTTTTAGCATTTAATATGGAAAATTTGAATAAATACTAGCTGGTCAAATGTTTAAGACCCTATTTAAATGAAGCTTTAATTAGTTAACACATAACAAAATTTAGTAATTTGTGTTCAAGCATTTGTGTTCTGGTATGTTCTATGTTACATTAGGTAAAAACATAGTAAAGGCTAAAAAGTTGACAATTTGAATGTGGCAGAATTGTTGAGCTGAAGAAGCAAAATCTCACTCAACATATCATCGCTCCTGACACTGGACATAGTAAAATTTGCTGTTGCAAATTTCTTAGAATCTGAGGGATATGGAATAAGAATTTTATGTGGTTGGCCCAAGAAAGTTTCATTGACATTGAGCAGGAGTATTCAATGGGTTGTCTGGCAAGACACCAGCTCATTATGCTCTCTCCAATATGCCAATATAACCAACCATTTTTCCTTGGAAGGAGATACCATCCCAGATCATGATGGGACACCATCCATTGTGTCATGGAAAAAATGTCGCCAGTGGGATATTCTTATGCCAGTAATGTTGGAGGCCATCTGGACAATCCTGGTTAAATTTTTCTCATCAGAGAATAAAACCTTTTTTCACTTTTCTCATGTATGACACTTTTCAGCAAAGTTTAACTAAGCTGTTTTGTATCATGGAAAGAGTCATGGACTTTGAAGATGTTTATGGTTTTTAAGATCTTTCTCTTGGACATGCTGACTTATTGTTCTTGAGCTGTATTCTGTCTGTTATGGCCTTGACTGAAGGATGTCACTTGTGTGGAAATGACTGGATTTTTCAGTAGGACAATGCTGCAATCCATAATGCCCACAGGACAAAGGAATTTTTCATGGAGAATAACATGATTCTTTTAGACCATCCCATGTCTTCATTCAACCTGAACCCCATTGAAAATGTTTGGGGATGAATGGCAACCTAAGTCTATAAAAATGGACATCATTTCCAAACTGTTATCTTCATGAAGCAATCTTCACTACTTGGAATAACATTCCAGCCAGCCTTCTGCAGATGCTTATATCAACCATGCCAAAGTGAATTTTTGAAGTTATTCACAATGACAGGCATGCAACTTGTTAGTTTCGTATGTTGATATCTATGTAGATATAACTGCTACTACAACATATAAAACTAAACTCTTAAAAATATATTGCTAGCTTTTAACATTAAAAAATAAAGCAGTTGGATTTAGACACCAACTTGTTCGTCCGTTTCTTATTCAGGCTTCTTTCACCAAACCCTGCCCAGTATATAACAACAACTGCCAATGAGTATTATGAATTTCATGCATGGAGAACAATTACGCTAATTGAATAGTCTATTCATAAAGTAAATTTTGAAAAAAAAAAAAACAATTCAAAATGGCTGGATACATTGGAAATGTTGAAACCTTTGAGAAAACTGTAGAAGACTTCCAAGGCTACATTGAAAGGCTGGAGCAGTATCTGGAACTGAATGGAATAGATGACATTAAAGTATCAGCTCTACTGAGTCTTATTGGAGGAAAAATGTATGGGCTGTTGAAGTGTTTAACAGTGCTAGCGAAACCAAAGACAAAGTTGTTTGAACTTATTTGATTTTTAGAAAACCACATTTCACCAAAACCTATAATTATTGCCAAGAGATTTCAGTTTCATAAGCAAGACCAGCAAAAAGGCAAGAGTGTGAACAAATATGTGCCAGAGCTGAAGAAGATATTGCAAATATGTGAATTTGGCGACAACCACAACAATACACTCGGAGACAGACTGGTTTATGGATTAAAATCTGAACAAATTCAAAAAAGGTTGCTGTCTGAGAATAATTTAGCATACACTAAGGCTGTTGAAATAGCCATGGACATGGCAGAAAGAGGATGTTTGTATGTTAAGATAAAAGCCACGATATCTCAACCAACACAAGGTGAAGAAGCATGTGGGTAAGCCAGCCAATGAAACAGCCACTAACACTCCATGTTACTGTTGTGGAGGACCCCACCAACTAACAATATGTCAATTTAAGGAAACCACATGCAGGTTTTGCTTAAAAAATGGCCATCTGGAGTAGAAATGCAGGAAGAAGATAAGTCCTTAAATGCTCATAAAAATAAACCTCTGTATAAATGCAGTAGAGACAGTTAAGAGTTGGTGTAGCATGTCCCAAGGCCAACAAGGTAGTAGTAACAAAGTGGATTTCTAGTCATGCATATTAACATTGAATGTGTGAGAAAAACTGACAGATGGGCATTATGGATTACACCTACCATTGCTAGCCTACCCTTGAAAATGGAGTTGGACACAGGGTCAGCAGTCTCAATAGTATCACTGAGAATTTACAAGAAAAAGCTCTCTCATTTTCCACTCAGGGAAACAGACATCCTAATGTGCAAGGGTAAAATTCAGGTCTTACTGAAATATCAGCAGACATAAGTGGACAACTTGGACTTGTATGTTGTGAGTCAGAGGGTCCAGCACTCTTTGGCAGAGAGTGGCTCTGTTTACAGGTGATACAGTCAACACCACTAAAGGAGATAATGCAAGTTAAGACTCAAAAAATATAGTGAATATTTTACTGAGGAACTGAAGACTGTAAAATGAGTTAAAGCTAAGAGAACTCTGAAAGATGATGTGAACCAGGATTCATAAAGGCTAAGTCAATACCATATGTTTTACACTCAGTAGTAGTTAGACCAACAGGAAAAAGAGGAATCCTGACAAAAGTAATGAGCAAGTAATGCCAATAGTACCAGTAGTAAAAAAAAAAAAAAAAAAAAAAAGTCAGGAGCAGTCCAGATTTGGTAAGACTATAAAGCCTCTGTGAACCCATGTCTGAGAGTAGACCAATACCCCTTGCCAAAAATTGAAGACCTATTGTCAAAATTGGGAGGTGGTAAACAGTTTACAAAGATTGACTTGCAGCAGGCATACCAGCAAATTGAAATGAAAGAACCATCCAAGCAGTATTTAACCCTGAACACTTACAAGGGCCTATACCAGCAAAACTGCTTACTATTTGGTATTGCATCACGTCCAGCAATTAGGTAGCACACAATGGACCAGATACAAGCAGTGCAGAATTGGACAGTGCAGAATTGACCACATGATCATCACAGGGACAGACTACATAGAATTAATGCTGAAACAGCTCAAAGAATATAACCTGAAGGCCAGCTTAGATAAATATGACTGTTATATACATGTTTGTGTAACTTTTTTCAGATATTTTTAAGCTTATTTTAAACATTTAGCCATGATTGCCATATGTGTATAGAGCTAAAACCCACAAGCTTTGATGATCCATCATTATAACCACTGGTTGGTTGTTCCAACTACAGCTTATTTTCAATTATTGGTGCTAGTGCTGGGGTAACATTAATCCTGTTGCATTTAACAATGCAATTTTAACATAGGAATCATCAGCCCATAAAATATTTGTAAACAGATGCTAATGAAAAAAGGAATTACTATTTTAAAGTAAACTTTTTCATTATTTTCCTTGTCATCTCAGTATCAATCATTTCAATTGATTCTTTACTGTTTCATTTATCATTGAAAGAAAATGGAATATAGCATAAAAAGACTCTTTACTCCTTTAAAGAAATTGACTCGTATATCAGTGACTATTTGTATCATGAACTAGGTAATGTTTCTATGGATGAATACTGGCTTTCCACACCTGACTGGATAAATAAGTTTTTTTAGCAGTTTTAATATAGGTTAAATTAGAACTGTAATTACAAAGTACTTAAAGAATCTATGTTAAAGATTCAATATTTTGCCATTCATTTTTTTTCCAGGTTTAATTAAGTTAATACCTGCTTAAATATTATTTTGTCAATTGTATCTTACCATATTTGTCATGAAAGTAACAGATAAGCATACAAAGTCTAAAACAAAGAAAATTCTGTCTTCATAATGAATTGTAAAATTCTTATTTTTTCTGATATCACTAAGATCAAAGTCAGGTATATTTTTTTTCTCTTTTAAAAAATACCTGATATAATAATTTTTATCTATAATTGGAAAAAATTAAAATGTATAACTAAAAAGAAAATTGATGTTTTTCAAATTAAATATTATGTTCTGTATTTAATGAAATGGTACTTTTAATAGTTGTAGAGATTTTAATGTTACACAGAGAAATTGGAATTTCTGTATTGAACAAAAATATATATTCAGTTTCATTTAGAAATACAAATTTTGATTTTTGTTTAATAACGGTTAACATTACCATTTTAGAATGACTGATATAATTTTTCCTCACAGATTAAAGTATCCAGCAGCAATAAAGGACCATGGGATTTTTCTCAACCTCGATTGCTTCAAGATCTCAGTGGAGAACATTCGGTAATTTTCTTACAAAAAATTTAATTGGACTGCTTCATTTACTTTCATTGGAATAATTCAAATTTTGTTTTTAGTGTTTAGTTCTAAATTTCATTCAATCTTATCTAAAATAATTTGCTTTAGAGGCACAAAAGAAGCTTAGAGACTAAGATCATTTGAATTATCATAACTGTTTCTGTAAAATAATAATAATGACTATTTAATTGCCCACTGAATTTTTGTGAGTACTTTCTGAAAAAGCAGCAATCATTAACTTGCTTTTGGCTTCCATTTGAAAATATTAAGTAATTGCACAAAAACGGTGACTTCTAATTAGAGTTGGTCAGTTTGGCAATTTATGTTTCGGTATTGGTTTCCTTTTTTTTCTTTTTTCTTTTTTTTTCCTTGATACCATGGTTTTCAATTCAGTTTTTTGGTTAGTTAATTTAGTATTTTTAAGGAAGCCATCCCTTTTTTTGTGTAATGATAGCATTTCAGTATCTGGTTTTGTTTGAGATTGATAAATTTGCAATGTGATCCGTTCAAGTCACAAATTCTCATGTATTTCTGGTCCAATCTTAAAAATATTCATATGGCTGTAAAGAAAATAAAATAATCTTTCTAAATATATAATTTGTATGTACTTTTATTCATTAAATTTACAGTGAGTTAAAACGGTATTTTGCTTCGAACAGCTGAAAATGCAAAATATGATTTTTTTTAGACTAAATTTTACATGTTACTTTGTTTCACAAAATCTTAAAATTGTACACTCAATTAGAAGACACCTTAAACTACAACCAGGAAGATATTCATTTCTTTTCTGACTCATGGAAGCGAATTCCTTCAAAAATTATAAAGTAAGCTAAGCAAAAAAAAAATGAGCAACTGATAGTAATGATGAATGTGTGGTAAAAGAATTTTCAAATTATTGAAACTACTGTCTGACACTGACAGACAGTTGTTTTCAATTAAAGTTTATTTATTAAACTTTCAAATAAATTGTCAACTATAAATAACATATTTATTTACAAATTGGTAAAATATGAAAGAAATTGTTGCATAAACTATCTATATTTGTGACTTTTGACAACACATTTTGAGAGAGAAACTGGTATAGCTCTCCAGAAATTAGTTTATGATGTGGCTTTTTAAAGAGCCAAAAAATGAAACTCCTCATGTTTTTAAAAATACGGCAATTCTTTTCAGGTATGCCAGTCAACTGTTATTGGGGTTTTGCAAATAAATATCTTTTAAACAAGGAAAATAAATGAGTTATTTTTTAACCCCAAATAAATTTGTTATCTAGCGAATGCACCAAAAATTAAATATTAAAAATAATTAAAAATTTTTAATTTCATTTTTAGAATGTGTATATTTCCAGGAGGCACGGTTGTGTAATGGATAGCAGATTGGTTTGAGGAATCGGAGAGCCAAGTTTGAATTCTAGCCAAATCCATTACATTCATTTACGTGCTAATACCCTTGGGAAATGTAGAACTCCTCTTCTTCTCCCACCAGCTGTGGGTAAATAACAGGACAGACTGAGTTCTATAGCCTTGGATAGCAACTGGTATACCGCAGAAAGAAATGGCTACCTACTGCGGGAGAAAAATCTGCCACATCAGTCATGTATTGAAAGATACACGATTGCCTATGCGTGTATCACACATGGTACATAACTGACTGATATTTCCAAATCTGCAAGTATCACCTGTTCTTTTTCAGATACCCATTTTAAAACTAAAATTAAAACCTATTTTAATATATAATCTTAAGTGTATTTGCTAGATAAAAACCATAAAGATATTTGTAAAAATAAAATGAATTCATTTTTCCTTGTTTAGAAGAATTTTACAGGCAGAAAACCCACAAAACACTAGTGGCTAAAAAGAATAATTTTTACTTTGGGTTTAAAAAAAATGATTGCAGTTTTGAAAATATACACATTTTAAAACTGGGATTAAAACTTATTTAATTTTTTAATATCTAATTTTAGGTGTATTCGCTAGATAGAAACATGATTTTATTTGTAGAAAACCAAAAATTTTACATTGGGACTACACATTTTAAAAGTGAAATTAAAAACAATTTTAATTATTCTTAATATCTAATTTAGGTGCATTCCCTAGATAAAAAATCAAATTTATTTATAAAAAAAAATCTTCATTCATTTTTCTTGTTTACAACTTTTTGTGATTGGCACTTACTAGAAACAGACTTTTTTTTTTCTAAACTGAAACAAATACATGTATTTTCCTTTTTTTTTTCTGTTTGAAAACATTCTATGATTTACAAGTGTCATATCAGATAATCTGTCATATTTCCTTTTTTCCATTTCCATTTTTCAAACAAATAGATTTCACATTTATTTCCTAAAACTAGTTTAACATATTTTTCTTCAACTTTTTTCTCTTACAATGGTATAAATGTTGATAATATTTAATTTTATTAACATCTGAAAGTCTTTTTCAATAGTGTTTCTTTGGATATGGTCATTCAGCACTAAACTGAACGATTTTGGTTTCATAAAAAATTTTGATGCGGTTTCACAGTTTGAAGATGAAACCAAAAAAAAGTTGATTTTTTGGTTAAACTGCCCATCTCTACTTCTAATGTAATGTAATCTATGTAGGACAATGGTGTGAGATATTTTAAAGTACATAAGTTCTTATTCAAGAGAAATATATTCCTTTTCTGAAATTGTTTTCATTTTTTTAAGAATATTTTCTTCAAATATTATTACCATATCTACCAACTTCTAAGGTACACTATCCAATATTATACTACATCCAATGTGCTGGAATTAAAGATAAAACATGAACAAATAATAGCTCAAGTTGCTCAATAAATATGATAAAATAAACTGAAATTACATTTTTTGTAAAAATAAAATCTTGTGAAATGTTAATGTTTTGTACATTTTCCATTAAATATATAAAACAGTTAATTCCTTGTGACATTTTTAAAATAGGCATACATGAAGCCTATAAACAGTTGCAAAATATCTGTTAAAATTTTAATCTATTGTTATCAAGTTTATGCAATCATCACTTTGAATATGTTTGTTGTAAATTTATGAAATCTTTCTGTTAATCTCTTGTGCACTTCTCATATTGACAATTAGATTGAAATAAGTGCTTTCTTTTATAAATTGATGTACTTTATATTCAATATTTTGTCTTGTAGAATGCAATTTGGACCATGAAATTTTCTCCTTGTGGGCGTTTATTGGTGAGTATTTTTAAATATCATAAAAAATGTTAAAGGAAGGAAGCCAACCATAATTGGAATCATAGTATGAACTCCACAGTCCTTTCCTTATTGTGCTTTGCCAGAGCTACATGCATAAATTCTCAATTGAAAATTGTCTTTCTCCTAGACTGGTTACCAGCAAAGGCTCCAGAGCCTATACTGCTCTTCTATTTAACCCATAGTTAGGGAGAGATGGATTTTCAAGGGTATTTACGCATAAATGAAAGTAAGAAACTCAACTGGAATTCACTCATCTCTCTGATTTCTCATTCCAAGCCAATCTCCATTACACTGCCTGCACATGTTAAAATAAATACTTTGTATTAACTACAATTATACGAATACATGATGAAAAGTTCTCAGAAAGAAACAGAACTTTTCAGCAACCCCTCATAGATAAATTATATGCTATTTGAAAAAAGATATGGATCACAGATTTATCCATCATTATCTAGAAGAGCTAGACTAGCAACATCTGAAATGAAGAATACAAATTATTAGCAAAACTTGATTGTCTTCTTACAAACAACTTAATAACTTGCATTGTTCTAAGGAATATCTTTTGAAAATTTGAAATATAAATATTGTTGAATATTTGAATGCTTTTGATAAATAACTGTATAAATTAAGGGAAGTTAAAATTGGAATTCTCAATGCTCTACTTGTTTGTAAATTGCTGAGAGGTTTCAACTTGGATGTGCCTCATACAGGAAGCAGGTCTTAATTGTAGGAGGCAGATTTTTTTCAATTTGTAGTAAATAAGTAAGTCTGTAAATCATTTAAAAGGTCAAAAAGCATGCATTGAATAATGAATAATCTTTTGGCAACATTTAAATTTGCATCACTTATCTTTTGGGACCCATATTAGGCCAAAAAAAGCCAATCAGTAGAAATCCTTTTCTATATAACCATATTTTTTTCAAATACTATATACTGCTATTTTGTATTTTCATGTTTTACTCAAACAGCAAATTGAATTTCTTAAATGAAGAATTATCAATCTTTGATTTTTCAGCTTAACTTTCAGCTTTCTCTCTTGGGAAAATAGAAAATGTTAAAACTGATTATGACAATAGGCTAGTGGATTAAAGTATTAGTTTGTGACATTGTAATTGTGAGTTTCCGTTCTGGGCCAGGTAGTGCAGTCTTTGACTCGGTGAAAACAAACTAATAGTACTAAAAAAAATAAAAGAAATATAGTAGTACTAAATAAGAACAAGACTAGATATGCCTAGACAAGGACAGTGGAATGAGAACAATTTATCTCCATAGATTAAATACAATGTTCAGTTTGAAATTCCTTGAAGGTTATCCAGATCAACACACACCTGAAAAAGGCCAAAGAGCATAACAGCCAAAAAGCTGTTATAACAACAAAGATGAGGACAATAGTTCAAATGTACAACACAACTCCTCATACCAAAAATTGATAAAATATGACCTGTACGTGATATCTATGTATATAAGATTTTATTCTTTATTTTCAACTTGCAGGCAACTGGTGGTCAGGATAGTGTCTTAAGAATTTGGGTTCTTAAAAGTGCCTATAGTTACTTTGAAGATTTACGACAGAAGTATGTTGAAGGTAAGTCATTTATGGCTTTCAGGTTAATACCAATATTTCTCAATTATTGCCATATGCAAGATGCCCATAACAAAATCAAAATACTTGATCATACTTTCTATATATAAGCAAAATATATTTGTTTGAATTATAAAGTGTAAACCCCTTCCCTGTCTGTAACTTCCTATGAGGATCATTCTTGTTTACCTGATGCCTGCCACTAATTTTCAAGACTCTTTTTCTGCCAGTGATCTTGACTACCAGGTATAGAAACTGGTGTGCATGCTTGTGTGCTAGGAAATTGGTTACTGCTATATGTTGTCTAAGATTTTGGAAGCTGTTTGCTGATGTGTAATTGAATTTTGAACTTGTCAAAATTTATGCTATGGAAGAGTAGGTGAATAGTTCAGTTGAGTCAAACAAAAAAAAAATAATCTACACATGAATTTATTGTTCTTATAAACTGGGTTTGTAAAGGATGCTGTTTGTATTCATTTACATTTGGAAGTGGACTAATAGAGGGCTCATCTCACCTAGTGATCACACTGCAGACAGGAACCATACTCAAACACACAGGTTAACCTATAAGACTTAGAATTTATTGGAAAGTAATTGTCATGAATCAGTCACCTCTGCAAATAACACCTGAATTTTTCCTTCATCTGGAGAATCCAACCCCAAGATAATAAACTGCTGAACAAGACATTTTCTCACATTTATTCTAGCCTTCTCATTTCCAAAAAAACCTGTCAAGATCTTGGCCAATCTTTACTGTTGATATTTCTGCTGTGATCAATATGATGACATTCCAACATCAAATATAATCATAATAATTCTGCTTGGGGAAATGTTTTGATTTACAAACCTAGTTTGGATAGATTGCTTGTGGTATTGAGCTTTTAAATATGCTTACTTAACTATTTCCTATTTCTGAAATAATTTTTTTAAATTTGAACTAGAAAAATTCAGCATAGTTCTTGCCAAAATAGCTTTCTTAAGCAAACATAGTCTCATGTTTTGACTAATTCCCATTTATCAATATATATCATTGTATATTGGTGATGGTTTTTTTTATTTCTTTTTAAATATATATCACAAAATTTCTGTTATTATACACACCACCCTTCCTCTGGTATCTGTTGCTTCTTTTCTTGTATATGTCGTATCTAGTACCACTTTCTGCCATATCTTGGAATTTTCCCCAGTTCCACATATTAAACCTGTGACAGTTTGAGTAAAACTAGGTAAATTCCAGCATCATTTTTAAGTTTAGTTTACATTTCAAAGGATAATTAGATGGTGACTTCCATCTTTGATCTTTACTGACCATAATCATCTATAAAGGAATTGGCAGAGAAATTTTAGTCAGCAATTATATTTTACTTCCAGAATCTTCTCAAATCTCTGGTTATCAAATGTGTATGAAAGATTAAAAGAGAAATAACTAGTGTCAAGCTGATACAATTTGATATTTTAATTTGTGGACTACAATTTGTGAATTGGTACTTCTCTATTGTAATCTGTGGATATTACAAAAAGACAGAAGAGATATATGGCTTTGATATCAATAGAGTTGTAAGATTTTTTTTTACATCCTGAATAGTCATAGCTTCTGCCTGAATCCCAAAATCAATTTCATTCAGCCACTCTACAAAAGAGCAATGTTGAGTCCTAATAACTATTCACATCACAAACTAGGCTTGCTTACATTAAGATTCTTGCCAAAGGAAATTGATCAGTGCTCCATGTTACATAATCTGACTTCCCCACCATTCTCTAACAAGTCATCTTTACCAACTCCTTATTTCTCTGAGATATTTGAAACCTTCTTGTAATCTACAATGTAATAACATTGCATAGGGTAAGAATTTTCTTAAAACTTAAAATTTGCTTAATTGCACACCTATTTAAAACGTACATTATTTTTTTTTTCTAATTCATCAGGAAACCAAAGTGACTCTTCCTCGATAAACAAAATTATTAGAAATAATTATGTAGAATTAAAATTTGATTGGGGTACTTGTTTTCAAATACAATTAACAAATTCTTTTTATCAGACCCTTGCTGCAAAATAGTCAGTTTTATCATGTATAACCATTACATACAAATTAATCCTAATATTTAACTTTAGCTGTATTGAAAAATGTAATCTGTAATAATTTTTTCTTGCAGTTACAATTATTTATGAACATTTCAGTTTTAGCACACTTATGCCAGCATGACTTTAGATCCAATGTTAAAATCCCTGTCATCTACAGAATTATGAAAACAAACTTTTTGGAGTGGGGAGGGTTACAGGACAATTTCTTTTCAATAAAAAAAAAAATGAATGGAGATATATATATATATATATATATAATCAAAGAACATAAATTTACATAAATTAATGAAAGTATGTAACCATTTATTCATTTAGGATAAATAATTATCTTGAAATGTTTGCACATGTGCTTATGGCAAAATCCCACACAGAAAAAAAATTCTTTGTTTAAAAATTGTGAAAATTAAAAAAACATGCATGTATTAATGATGTTACTATATTTTCAAACAGCTAGGTCCAATAAATCTTTAGAAATCATGGACTGATTTTACAGTTATGAATATGATATTCCTTTTTAAAATGATTTAAAAAAATCACTTTTTTTCCTTTTTTTTATGTGTCTAATGCAGCTCTAAAAATGCTAGTGTACAAAAATTATTCCTAAAAATAATTTTTTTTTTTACAACTGGACCAGTCTATTTAAATAGTGCCCTTATACCTAATAAGATGTTTCACAAATGTGTGTTTTTTTTTTAAGCAAAATTATCACCCTCTGCATCACGAGAAAGCTTGGATTCGCTTGCATCATCGGAGGCTTCCAGCCTAGATCAAAGAGTAAGTTAAAGTAACTACTTTTTGTTTTCTATGTAACCAAAAGGGATTTTACCCACTTTGAATTTTTCACAGATATTGAACTTTTAATACAGTATAATTGCTTCATTCAGTAAATATATTGTTAATGGCCATTTGAACCTCTTCATGAAATCTGCCTGAAATTTATTATGATGCGTTAAATTTGTTAATGGAAATGTTAATCATTTACACTTTTGTATTATTTATATTGCCTAATTCTGAATAAATTTTAGTAATAGTCATATTGCCAATACACAATACTGCAAAATAAAGAATTGGAGAAAAAATAGTTTGTATTTAGAAGTGGGGTTCATTTCCAGCAATATTTTTATAACAAACTTGTGAAGCAAAGTCTCTTACAGATTTTATGAGTGTTTATTTTCTCTTCATTTTAGCTTCTTAATGGATAGTTTTTATTTAACCTTTCTGCAAAAGTATTTTTGATTAGAGCTTTAAAATTGCATATGATAAAAAACAACCTCATGAAATATTTAACCAATACATAAATTCCAATACAACAGACTTCAGATGACTCTAGTTGCAAATAGGTGTATAGTAACAGGAGTTAATAACTTGGATGGGACCATAAATTCAAAATGTAATACCTTAAGGGATCCTCTAATGACAGCAGTAAACAAGATCATCCCAAAGAAAGAGAAATGAAGAAAAAAATTGGGTGACAGATGAAATTCTTGATGAGGAAAAAGACACTGCAAGTTATGCTAAGGAATGGTACAGGATATAGAATATTAAACACAAACATTAGAAACAAATTCAAGCAGACAAAAAAAAATGAATGGCTCAACAAAAAGTGTGCAGAGATAGAAAGAGTAAGCCTGCATAAAAGAACAGAACAAAAGATATGTTCATTGACAGGATGCATAAGATCTAAAGAGGGAACCCTCATAATAGGAAAAGAAAAAAATATCACACACACAATGAATACATCAGAATTCTGCAGTGGCGAAAATAGACAAAAACATGGAAAGATCTGAAATATTGAAATCTGTGGTAAGATCGTCATTGGCCAAGATGAATAAGAACAAAACAGCAGGATCAGATGGGATTGTAATAATGACTAGCAGTAGAGCTCGGCGTTGCCCGGGGATGTAACAGTAAGAGATAGATCAAGTATCGACCATCATAAAGACTAAAAAATAAAATTGACAAAGATTATTGTTTAAGGTTGATGGACACATGTCTTAATTAGTTTTTTTTTTTTTTTTTTTTGTTTTTTTTTTTTTTTTTTTTTTTTTTTTTTTTTTTTTTTTTTTTTGTTATGAATTGGTCAAAATGAATTTTATTATAAACAGTTGTCTTGTAAATGGAATTTTTAAAGCATTCTGAATGTAAAAATAAAGAAAAAAGTGTGCAAGACAATAAGAAACACTACCTGCCAAAAAAAAAAGTGAAGTTTTGTTAAAATCGGTTGAAAATGTAGGAAATCCGATCCCATATATAAACGAACACACACACACAACCTTGGTTTTATAATAAGTATAACTCTATATGAGTTGTCCCCCTTTCATTCTCGCAATGCCTCTTAATCATATTTTCAAATTGATTTTGTGCAAAAACAATTGTTTTTCCAATTTTTGGCACTCAGAATCACCGCAAGGTAATTTTACGTAGTCCTGTGAAGTTTTGTTGAAATCAGTTGAAAATTTAGGAAATCTGATCCAATATATAAATGTACAGACACACACACACACACACACACACACACACACACACACACACACACACACACACAATCTGCGTTTTATAATAAGTAAGATGCTATCAGCCATAAACGATTTTTGGGATCAACAAAATTATGGGAATGATAAATGAAAATGTAGAGCAATCTTCATAGTGCTGCTTAAGAAACCCAGTACAAATGAATGAGAGAGCTCCATCAAACAATCAGTTTAATGACTTGTATAACTAAGTTTATCCGGATTATGATGAATAGTGTCTCACCAAATTAGACCAAAAATAGAGCAAGAACAGTATGGCTTTGTTAAAGATACTGGAATAAGAAATGTAATTTCTGATCTTGGTGATATGAGAATAAGCAATACAAATGCAGAAGGATGTATATCTATACAAAAGCATTTGATGAGATATAACAAAGATCTATTTGAACTGCTAGAAAAATTTGATTTGTTTGGAAAAGATATTCGAATAATTTGGAACATTTACTGGGAACACACAAAAGAACTGAGCAAGTATACAAAAATGGAAAAGACAGTAAAACAAGGATATGTTTTCTTGCCAGATTTATTCAGTCTTTCCAGTGAAGTGATCTAATGAAAACTAGAAATCTTACCAGAATTTATTACTGATGGACACAATCTTAACAACATAAGATATACAGCTGGCACTGTGTTGATGGCAGACTCGGAAAGAAAACTTCAGGAACTCCAAGATATAGTAGTAAAGGAAAATGGGAAGTAAAAATTAGCCATTAATTGTAAGAAAACTGAATGTATAGTCATTAACAAGGACATCTCAAGATGTAAGCTACAAATTAGATGCATCAAAATCAAGCAAGTACAGAAATTTAACTATCTGGGAAGTGTAACATGTAACATTGGAATAGCAAAAGATGCCTTCCAAAAACTAAACAATGTATTTACAGGAGATTTTTGTTAGTGCTGAACTGTTGTTTAATAACAATCCTCCTATATTGCAGTGAATGCTGGACAATTTCTTCACAGATGAAGAGGAGACTTGAAGCAACAGAGATGGAGTTCTACAGAAGGATGATGTGAATACTATGGATGGAATATGAGCATCAAGGAAATTTTAAGGAAAATGGGAATGAAAAAGACACTTAGATGAAATTTCTTGGTACATATGAGGAAAGAGAGAATCTAACACTTAATCACAACATACTGAAGGCAAGAGGAGAAATAGCATGTAACCTACTTTATAAGCTAAGTGTAAATGGATGATGGAACAAGTACTCAAAGGGATAGTAAGGGGACAAACATTGAGTGACAAAGGACAGAAAATTATAGATGGCGCTATGATCACCCATGTCCTGAAGAGACATGAAACATAAAAGAAGTTCATAAAAAAAAAACAAAAAAAAACAATATTCTAGTCATAATTTTTAATGTTTAATGGAAATTTTTCATTTAATTGTTCATTCAGACTGATATTTTTTTTTTTTATCAGTCATTTTGGCTACTGTATTCTTTCACTTTTCTTCAGGAGGCATCTTGTATTTTGGAATGTTCAACTTTGGTCTATGAAGGCAGACATTTCCTTTCTCTTATATTCGACGTCTCTCTCTCTCTCTCTGTCATCTCTTGGAACTTATGCATTTATTTTTGAAGATTGTAGGTGTCAGGAAAGCAAGAAATAAGAAGGGAATTTCACAGGTGAGAAGTGCAAGAACCTATTAGAATAATACTGACAGTTGCATCTTGTTCAACAGTGAGACCTAGTTGCCAAAAATTCATGTAGTCAAGGCACTAAGGAGAAAATCTCATCAGAACAAATACCTTAAAATATTTGTAGAAAAGACGGAGGGAAACTGTCATGTTGGTGAGAAAGTAACTGAAGTTGAATTGCCAGGTCAAGATTGATTACATTACAGACCCTTCTTTGAATTTTGTCAAGAATCTCGTAATATATAGTATGGTCACTACATCAAACATGGCCGCAGTATTCTATGTACAGATGAATGGTAGATATATAAATGTGCAATATGGATTCTGACAAGAAGAATTGTCTGGCAAGACACAGTTTTCCTAGCAGTAAACTTAGCAATGGATTCAATATAATCACTCTACTTCATGTCAGTGGAAAATGTGAGCCAGCGAAGTTACAAAGGGCTACTCTCCTAGAGGTTAGAATTAGCCATGCTGATAGCAGGCAAAATGGTTCTCTGTGGTGATTAAATGAAAGCAGTTTTCTTTTGGAGGTGTTAAAATTTACAAGCCCACAAGCAAGGCAGTAATGCCACCAAACATAAGGGATTATAGGGTGGGGGAAGAATTAGGAACAAAAACATTAATGATGAGCAGAAAGAGAAGAGAATAATCAGGTGGACAGTAGATAGCAATTGAGATTGCATTTAAATTTTTGCAGATTAAAGTTGGCTGGAAAGCAAGGAGCCAGAAGGGAGTTCCACAAGTGAGAAGTATGAGAGAAGAAACTGTTAGGATAAAATTTACATCTTCATCTAGCCAGCCCACCTGTAAATTGATGAGATCTCGATGCCAGTCTAGTGCTGCACTTAAATTCAAAAGCTCTTGGTACCTTAGCGAAGAGCTCATTCAAACAATTACCATGAAAGTATTTATAGAAAAGACATAGTGAGGTAACCTTATGGTAGTGGGAAAGTGACTGGAGCTGAGCCTCCAGATCAGGACCAATAATATTGCAGATTCTTCTTTGGATCTTATCAAGGAGCTCAAAGTAAATAGCAGGGGCACCAGACCATATATGGCAGCAATATTCTAAGCATGGATGAATTGTAGACTTATAGATATATAAGATAGATTCTGGAGAGAAAAATTGACATAGTGAACCAACTTTCTTAGCAGCTGACCTAGCAATGGATTCAATATAGTTTTTCCACTTCATATCAGCAGAGAACTTGAGCTAGAGAAGGTGCACTGAGTGACTTTCCTGGAGGATAGCACCAGCCATGCTGATGGAAGGCAGCAAGGGGTCTCTCAGATGATTAATGGAGAGAAGTTTAGCTTTAGAGGCATTAAAAGCCATCTTTTGCACTAGTTAACTACAGACTTTAGGTCAATTTAGATATCTGCTATCATTTTGATCTTATCAGACTTACTATCGAGGCAGGAGTAAATTGTTGTCGTCGTCAACATAGATACCAAGCTGAGAGCTGATGTCATCAGGAAAGTCATTAATGAAAATTAAAAATAATGTGGGACCAAGGATGGATCCCTGGAGGATACCTATATTAGTACGAAAGGATCTAGATGAGTGGCTGTTCAGGATACTTCTCATCTCGCAATTTGATAGGAAAGACTGGATCAGTTAAAAAAAAAAAGTGCCTGGAGACACCATAATCTTTCAGCTTGCAGAGAAGACCTGAATGCCAGACCCTGTCAAAAGCTGTTGAGATGTCCAATGCTACAGCCCAGACTTCATCCTTTTTATCTAGAGCATGATAAACTATTTTCACAATTTGATATAAGTACATCAGCAGTTGATCTGGAGAAACAAAAGCCATATTGTTTGTCTGAGAAAAAGACCCTGCAATGAGAAATGATGAACCAATTCAGCATTGATTAGAGCCTTCAAGGTTTTCCAAAAAGAGGTAGAAAGCTAATAGATTATGATAGTTTGGAAGGGTCAGACAGCTCACCAGAGTTCTTAAAAACTGGAACAACAGAATGATAAATTCCAGAATGCAGGAGGCATTGAGGTATTTATTATATGGTTTAGAAAGAACAGGAACCAGTTCAGGAGCACACTTTTAATGACTATTACAGGAATATATCATTGGGTCCACATGCTTTGTGGGAATCTAGGTTAAAGATGATAGCAGAAACCATGGAAGGGGTTATATGCATATCACTCAAAAGAAACTCAGTTCTAAGGGAAAGTTAGGCAGGGATACTCCAGATGAGTCAAGTTTAGAGTTGAAGAGAATTTACAGGCAAAGTATTCAGCTTTATCAGCAGAGGTTGATAACATCTTAAATTGATTGAAGAGGGGAATAATAGAGACTTAAACTTATTTAATGCCTGTTACAGAGCCAACAGTAATCATGAGAATTAAAATACTTAAAGGCTATGTGGTGCTGCATTCTCTTGGTGAACAGGGACTTTGCTCCTTTGAGGACTCATTTTTACATTTATTACAGGCAGTAATGAATAGATGCCAGTTGTGATCAGAACTGTCATGCTGGTATAGCTGGAAAATAGTGGTTCCTGTATTTAATCCAAGACTTGGAAAATATGATTGAACCATTGATTACATCCTCTCAGGTCTGTTTGTTAAAAAAATGGTTCATGAAAAAAAACATTTTGCCCTGTAGGAAGAAACCTTGTGGTTTTATTTTTCAATTTGAAATTGGTGGCTTCTGTCACATTTAAAGGGAAAATAGCAATAAAGAAAAATCGGAGACTTTTTCTTTCATCTGTGGGGAAAAAACTTACAAAAAAAGTTAATTTATCATCCATAATTTTTCCCTTTTTACACTTTTGACTGCTGGAAAGAAATGATTAATTAACTCCATTAGATATGGCAGAATTACAAGATTTTTTTTTTTCTGATCTTATTCTTGGAGAGATAGAACATAAAATAAATTTGGTTTGGTTTGTTTGTTGCATTGGTTTTGCTCACAAGTTATTTAATGCTGACAATTTTTTTTCAGGAATGAAGATTTTTGTTGATTTTTAAAAGCTATAGGTCCAATATTATTTTTTCTTCAGAAAATGTATTGCTGGTAATAATTTTTTTTTTTTACTAAAGTATTTCTGTTTAAAACCTATTTTTTTTTATTCATAATTTTAACCCCCATTTTTAGGGTTAACTATTTACCCATATAAACCCTAACATTTGTCCAAAAGGTCATGGTAACACCTAGGGACACTTACAATTAAAGGTATTCCAACTCATCTAAACTTCTTGAGACATCTTGCAAACAATAGTTTATTGAGTCTTACAAGGACGTGGATGTAGTTTATAAAATAAAGGAAATCTTTTCTAAAAGCAGGAGGAGACAAATAAATTTTATCAATTTGGTGTTGAACTGAAAGCTCTTTCAAATGTCTTTAAACTAAGATTTATTTTTTCTGAACTTGGATTTATTCCTAAAGACATTTAGATGGTGTTTGCCTTAACCCCATTTGTTTGAAGATTTCTTAATAATATATATACAGATTGCAAGTAGCTTCACATGGTTCATGACTTTCATTTGAATAGCATGCAAAATGCATTGTAAACAGTCTCAGACAGAATTTTTTTTTTGGTGTTTAAACATAAAATTCAAGATTGTGGGGAACTGTATTTTATTTTTTTTTGGGACCCTGTTTCAATCTTAGATGATGACTATAAGCATTTTCCTAGATAAAGAAAAACATTTTATAGATTCAAAGGACATTTAAAAAAAAATTAATTTAAATGGTCCAAATAAATTATTTAAAATGAACTTCTTTTTGAAATATTTTTATTTTATTTTCCTTTCTACTTAATAAAAACACACACAGTTTCCTTTACTGTCTGTGTAATCTATTGCATATATATATATTTATATATATATATATGGAAGTGAAATGATTAAAAAAATTTGTTGTCTGTTTTGACACATGAAATAGATTTTTTGTAATTAAACTTTTTAAACTATATAATTTTTTTTTTTTACAAAATGCACTTACCATGACTTTAAAGAATGGAAAATTCTGTATAAATTTGTCCTCAAATAAAAATTGGTTCTATCCACTTGGTTCAAATAAATTTCTTCATTTTATTATGTATTTGACCTGCAAAATTTTATTGGGCAAAAATAAAATTTCTTGGAACATTATTGATTTTCATCAAAAAATTTTTTCAGCACGTTGCAATCTCAAGTTCTCCATCTATTTCAAGAATACATAAATATTTTTATTGTGATTTGTACCAAATATATATTTTTATATATAAAAATATTTTTTAATTCACATGTTAATTAAAAGTAGAAAAACCTTTTTTGGGTTTTTTTTTTTT